ACGCCTCAATAAAACCATACGTATTTGCTAATTATCTGGATTTTACAAATGGAAAGCAAACAATTACACTTTTTTTTGTTAATCTGGCGCGAAAAGCGACAGTAATGAATATAAGACCGTGGTCAGTTATTGACGAGGGCAGGTGGCGTATGGGACCTACTTGGGGTTCCTTCAAACCATTCATTAGTGAAAAGATCGGTCCTCTACTATTAAATGCGAAAGAAGTAAATGAGGAAAGTGGAAATGTAATAAACTCACCTGTATTGCAGTACAGTGCAACCTGCTATTCGCCAAAAAAATCTCCCTTTAAGCGGCGCGTGTCTGTTTTTTACATAAGGAAAAAAAGCTTAAAATTGCCGAAGGAATACTCTTACAACAGAAAAAACACCCTATGTAAATATTCACCCTTATGTAAATGACGTATAGAAAACGATCCCCGCAGTTTTTTGTATTATTTTCGTTCCCTCGGTACTCTTTTAGGAACGTGGTGCACACGCGTAAAGCACAGCCCATCGTTCTTCCCTTTTTACATTATTTTTAACTAGGGGGATGCGATTGTTAAATCCCCCAATTTTTTTTCTGTTCCGGCATATGGAAAAATGGTGCACACCAATTTAAATCCCGTCTACACATTTTAAGCTTTGCTTAGCTGAACGATTCAAAAGCGCTGTTAAGAAACATTCTATCAAAAATTTTCATGCAAGTCATCCTTTAAGAAGTCACTAAAACCCACTATAAAGCGGACAAAAAAGAATCTTTTCAAAACAACCCTCATTAAGATTTCGAGTAGAAATCTCTGGAGTCTATATAGGATTATTTGTGTTTTCAATGTTAAAAAGCAGACCATTCTCATATCGTTTATCAAATATGACGTATTATTGAATTGCTAGACAGCTGAGACGAATTTTTTCGTGCTCTATCGTGAAATCAATACGCGCCATAATGCTACTGGCTCTTTTAAAACTTGTTACATATTGTGAAATTTGAACATTCGTCGATTACCTAATTAAAAAATAGCTGTATAATAGTCTCTTTTTAGTCAGTTAAAAAATCATTTACTCATGCAAATCGGTTAAATTAATCGTAATCTCAAGTCTTCAGGGTTCAGCTCCAAATAAATATTAATGAATTTGTCACTAAAAAAAGTTAAAATGATCGTAATGTCACAATCCCTATTAGGCCTAAATAGCTGATCCTGAAATTTGCAACTTTTTGGTTAATTTTTAAGTTTTGGCAATGGATTTCAAAAATTCACCGACCTATACGGCTGTTATTTTGTCATTTTCTGTTAGTTTTTGTATCACCTTCGCTTGTTTCCACTTCTTCAAATATACAAAAATGAAGAAGAGGTTTTCGCCTTATGACGAGTAATTTTCGCGCATTTTCCATGAATTGATCAGTAGGTACTTCCCGAAAGGTCATGCATCGGACTTTTTATGTGTACTATGCAAAATAAGTTATGGCATAAATATTTATAAGAGAATTAGTATTGCGCATGGCCACACCAGATGTTTAAAAATATGCGATCTGTTTGCCTTTACTAGATGAATCTTTGGGTAAAAATTCTCCACAAATAAGAGAGATATAGTCAAGATTTTCTTGGTTGAGATGACAGAGCTTTAAGCTACCGAATGCAAAACGAACTAAATATCTTGAAAATTGTATCAGAGTTTAAGGCCTCGGACTGACGGAGATAGTGGCCATAATAGCTCCTTCCAACATGAGTTGGAAAATGCGCTAAAAAGGAAAGCTGCACGGGGAACATTTACACTTCCCATGCATTTACTTGAACCATATGAGTTCAAATGTCATTTTCAATTAAAAAAAGTGCTACTTTTTGTAAGTTTTCTTCTACCCACTAAAACCTTTCCCCTGTCGTTCCCAACCTGGAACCGCGTGAGCATTACTTCGGGTTGAGTGGTGTTGGGTGACCCGATGTTCACACACCCGTTGGCTATATTAACATAGTTTTTTTTTTAACTATTTGAGAAACAACTACTTTCGTCTCTAAAAGGGGTTAAGAAAATCTGATTTTCCTCTCTAGTGAGGAAACTAAAAAACAATTGCTGCGTTAATCTTAATAATGACATTTCAAATTGAAACACACCCTATCTAGATTGCTATGTGTCAAACTTCATTATTGCATACGATAATTTTTCAATTTTGATTGTAGTTTCAGAAAAAGTTATGTGTAAAACTAAGGAAGAAAATGTTTTTCAACTCTGTCGTTCAGTTGACTTTCAACTCGAGTTAAAACAAAGTTCACTTTCTTCTCTAGTTGTACAAATATCTATTTCGCCTACTGTTTTCGTCTTCTCGTTTCCTTTCGCATTGTTCTTTCATCTGTAGAATTGTCTTATATGTCGCTCTTATTTCCTCCCAATTTCATCATTATTTTGCATACCGTCTCCACTTCATATCATTCCTTGATTTTATTGTATGAGAAGTAACCGTTTCCCATTCCATTCAGGACATCTGAGCAGAGTGTGCTAGGGAGTCATCTTTGCAATTACAATACCAGCACCAGGGTTTTCGTTTCTTGCTGCGTCATTCCTGTGTAGGAATGACGAAAAGCAACCTCGTCCGGACATTACCTGCGAGAGGTAGAAGTCTATTCCCCTACCTTTCTTTTCTCATTCCTTGATCTCGAGAACCAAACGCCATATCTGTTGCTACATAGATTTCCATTGCTCTCATTCTCTTTTGATTCGGGTCCATTCCTTCGCAGAGACAGCACCTCTCCTCACCCACCAGGGATGCTGCCGGCCATTACGTGGAGCGCCTCACCGCTCGTTGACCTTTACCGAAGCCACCATTACCGTGGCTTCGCCTGTACCCGCTCACGATCCAAAGTCTCCGTTGCACTGCCAAGAACTTTTGTCTTTACGAAGCTATCTCCACGGCTTCCGACCACACCGAAGCACCATACATGATGTGCTCTTGATTGGTCCTTACAGATTGGGCATTACTCGTGCAACCACTGGCGCAACTGTTTCAGCTTTTATCGAAGCTGCCTCTAAGTGTGGAAAAAAGTCACCTTTTGGTACAACGTAGTATTCCTAAATTTAACACTATCGGCTGGTTTGATCGCATGGTCTCCCATACTTCAAACGCATCTAATATTTGACCCCATTTTTCCCAGTTGAATGCGTCTTCCACGTCGATTGTAGTCAGCAGGCAGGAGTCTTTGTACCCCCACAATCCCGACTGTGCTCGCTGTCCCATCTTTAAAACTTCCTTCTCAGCATCCATAGTACTTCCCTCCCTAAAGCCGCTCTGATTTTCCGATCGCCTTTTGAACCAAGATGGCCAACACTTTCCCTCCATCGGCTTTGACTAGCAATGTAATCACTTCTCTTTTATCAAACGGTTCCATATTGTTCTTTTTTTTCTTCTTCCGTGTGCAGTATTTCAAGCAAAAATTTCTTGGTTAATATTTTGTACACTTTCCCCCATGGGTCCGTATCCAGATCCTTCATCAGTTTCCACCCTAATGCATTTTTTAAGATCCTTCCGTAAAGTTTTAAATTCTGACTTTCCGCTTTTTCCCTGGCGTTTTGAAATCATCTTCTTGCTTTAAGAAATCCTCCCCTCGCGTTTACCACTTCTTCTGTCCACCAGTAGTTGGAAACTGGTCGTGTGAAACTCGTTTTCTTTGGCAATATTTTCCCTTTCCTAATTTGAAGCTCAAGTTTTTCTTTTACTTCTAGTTTAAAGTTTATATACCAACCCCTGGATCAATTCACAAGTTTTAATGATACATACGCTCAATTAATTATTAAAGAAATTATAACATTACTTAAATAGATTGATTTATAACATATAATTATTATTTATAGCTCTTTTGTGTTCAAATTTATATGTAGATTTATAACACACGAGCGCGAAACCACTACTCGTCAATTCGGTGTCGATGTTAGAACTGAAATTAAACACAACTCGATCTGCTTATATAGATAGCAAACAAAAACTTTCTAGAATAAATCATCATATTATCTACCGGAAAAAATGCGTCACATCCGCCTTCATTCCTTACCGCCGGTGATTAATCCTTTATCGACTGGCGCCTTGATAATGACCTGATGGCGCCCCGATGTCGCTCTAGATTTGTAGAATATTCGCTACGGTAGCTTCTCATTTTGATAGGATCTTTTTATTTCAAAATACTAAAGGTAACAATTTTTTTAAATTAGAGTTTCCCCTACTGAAAATCGTATGCGATTCTACGACCTTGTATCTTGTTTGTTAACATCACTTTAGTAGAAATAAACTCTGGTAGAAAACAAAAAAATTCTTTAAGGATGCTAGAATGCTCTGAAAATCATCCAAAACAAAGCTTTCCAAAGTTCCTGCAGTGCTTTTCAGCGCTCTCAAAAGTGGATAAGCGTAAGCCGTAAGGTAGGTAAATCTCTACATTATACTAGTCAAGAAATGTACGGAAGGGACTCAGTAGGTTTAGGTCTCTTTTTCTATTAAATGAACAAATTACACAGCTTAAGGATGGGAAACCTAGATCCCTTCCTTAAGCCGTGTAATTTTAATCCTAGAAGGGGTAGGGCAGGGGGAGAGATAAACCGGAAGTTAAGCCTACCCACAGAAAATTTTGATTTTTGCACTTTATGTTGCGGTACACAACAAAGAAAACGGTCTCCCCTCTCTACATACTATACCAAGTTATAGTGGTGTTGATCGTTAGTTTTTGTGCATCCGCCACTCTTTTGTTGTGAAGATTTGGTTTCCCTACTGGACCAAGTGTGTCGTTATGGGTGGATGAGCCCATCGGAATTAATGACAGTAGTTGGTGGTGATGTTTTCCTACAAGTTGCGACTTGTGAATGATTCATAACCAGACCCACACAAAAACCGTAAGCGCGTATCAGGTTTAATAAATTTGCCCACGAAAAGAAGCTTAAACAACAACCTAAACCTACCTACACGCTTTCGCTTCTACTAAGACCAGAGGAAAGAAAGTGAATTCTCCCAAATATAATTTATTTACTATGCGATCTACGCTCGGGAAGGACCTGGTCCATTATCTACCTTTCTAAACCATGGTACAGTTTTTGGCAAATCTATGTCATCACTAGAAACAGACGAAACCGCTCTGGTTGAAAAAACTTTGCGAATGTTCTGGAAAAAATCACTTTTAAATTACAAACAAAACTTAACATTATTACCCCTTCCCTGTAAAATACCCAAATGTTATAAAGCCCAACTACAACCAATGGAGTAAAAACAATCAACAATCCCACTATTACAGCGATTTTTTCATTCAAATCCATACGTTGGGGACTCCTATGGGTGATATGCGTGCAGATCATCCCCTAAAAAGTTGTTAATAGATCATATTTACAACATGATGTTGTATTAAAACAAACCAAAAGCACAAACGGAGACAATACCCACACTATCTTTATGTACAGATTTGGTTCAAACCCTATCATGAAGGCTACATCATCTGAAAATGCAGGAAGCCTGTAGATGTACATTACTGCAACTAGCTCGCACAGGACAACCAGTGATAAAGCAATTGTCACAATAAGTTGGTCAACAAAGGTCAATAAATAGTATCCATTCTAAAAGTAATAATTACGGTTTGCTCCCAGAGGTGACCGAAGCTTACTGAAGTTAGTAGAAATGATCCCAAAATAAAGCACAGCAAACAGAAACCAACTGTGGTCTGAAGAGTATACTTTCCCAGCCATGGCACATATCTGTAGCAAATCAATGTTGCAGACTCTACGTAGGTCACCTACGAGTAGGCACGTGAAGTTTACGCACGTCGTAGATAGCATATTTATTACCAAAGGGTACCATCCGGCAATAAGTAATGTAAGAAAGAATAAAACTGAGATACAGTTGGACAATGGTGACGTCACCTTTGTAAATAACTGCGAAAATTCGACGTGTCCATAAAAATCTGAAACAAACATTATCCCACAATTCAAAGAGCAAATACTTACTAGGTGTTTGCTTCAGATTAAAAACTGTTTGAATGTCTTGCTTTCTTTCCTCGGCCAATATTCCTGCTGTGGAAAATACAATCGAGCTACACAGGAGGGTGGCAATCCCTACCAGTATTACTAGAAAAAAGCTGTCCCTATCCGAAGGCGTATGAAATTTTAAAATTGAACCAAACGTAATCATTGGCCCCATTCCAATTGCCAATGAAACTATGGCTTGTTCCGCTGAATTGCGCCAAACCTGAGTGGTTTCAAATTTTATTTCTCATAGTTTACCATTGTACCCCACCACTATGTCACATAGGTCTTTCATTGTGCAGCTGAACATAAATTTCAAACCTTCGGACGCTCCACCAATAAATAAGGCTGCAATTAGGGTGATTGCGAATGTTATGAATGGCAATGGGCAGTAAAACTTAGGAGGCTGTATGTAATCATTTTACATGAGCAGTCTAAACCCACACGCTGTTTACCCATGTTCGAGCACTAAAACGTCTCCGAATAGCGATTGAAATTGCCATCCACAGCAAAAATAGCACAGTTAAGGTCTTCCAGTTGATTTCAAGCGAGCCAATAGAATATTGGGGAGGGCTTCTTAGAATTTGGTACCTACAATTGCACTAGTTTTAATTTGGTCACTTGGATGTGCCTACTTAAAAAATGCATATTCTGGTGTAGATGACTGATTTGGAGATCCATTCGAACATTCTTCGTTGCGGGTGAAGTTGTTACATTGTGCAAAATCTAGAGTGAATGACGCTATAAAATATAAGACGCTGAACACATTTATTACATTGTGATAAATTGCGATGAGCGTGCAATAAATCGCCATTACAATGCTAATTCCTAAAAATTAACCAAACGGTTGCTAAATGCCACTATGTAGAAGATTACCTTCAAATATCGGACAAAGAGAAAACACCCCATGATAGCCCTTACTCGACGATTGGCCCAACGCGACTTCAAAGAATAAAAGACAGCTTCCTATGGACATCATTACGATTATATAAGCCCATACAAAAGCACCTGAAATCAAGTATAAATAAATACCTTGCAGTGCATGCTGTTGACAGAACCTTGTCCTTTTAAGTAGGCTTCACGAGGAAACCTCCAGAAGTTATGCAGGTTCATCAAGAATGCCAAAGTTTGTAAAAAAAATTGTTTTCGATTTTTCAGCTTGTCTGTCTCCCCAAAAGCCTAATAAACGTACTGAAATCTTCCACGTTAAAAATACTACTTATAATATACTTACTGCTATGGAGGAAGGTGTTGCAAGGCTTTGGAATTTTGAAGCTGACATGGCAATGGCGCTAGTCTAAAAGTAAGCACGAATATATTTATGGTTTAAAAGTAGAGCACCAAGGTAGCTTTCAGCATTATTATCAGCTACATTTACATACTACTTGAAGGGGTGTGTCAAAAGGAGCCATTTGTTCATAATTTTCTACCTACCTGCCTAGATTTTAAGACTATTACTTGAGATACTCCGCGGTTAGCCATCTTGCATCAAACTAAAAAAGAGCATTCATTCATCATTCTACCGCTTACACATTTAACACGACAAATTATGACATTAAAATGTAAGTACTATTGTCACAAAAATTGACAACTAATGAAAGTCACCTTTGTATTACCTACCTATGTAATGTTGATTAGGTTTTAACTGACCGATCTATAAAGAACTTCTTTGGGAAAGGAATATCGAACACCGCAATTTGGATGAAGGAAATATGATTAATATTTCAGATGTATCTCTAGCACTGTCATTCACTTATTCGTTTACCTGACCAGGAAAAAAAGCAGCAGAAACATTTGACCAAAAGCGATTAAAGAGTATTTTCACAAATACTGTAGAATGATCTTTGCTGATGCAGGTTTTCAAAATACAACCCACATCTTACCAATGCCGAACAAGTTGCTAGTATTTCAAATGACCATTTTGTTTCCGTTGTGCATCAATGTACAAAAAATACCTCCAAAATACAGTACGAAGTTATTTCATCATTAATCGTCATTCTGTTTGTTACCCGTTACAAACACTGAAGTGTATGTTATCTTATGGTTGGAAAAACTTCTCCTTCAGGACAGTTAATTGAAGTGGCATCAAAATTAAGACTAATTACGTATGAAGTACCCCCTAAATTATCCATAATTTGTTTTAATGATTTATTTAACAGTTTTGACTCATCTTCATGCGATAGCGCCACACATGCAGATGAGACCAGTGCTAGTGTCGCGCTTATAATGAGGAAGAGTTAAAATTTAATTTAAAAAGTGCCTTACCAACTCTTGGTAATTGTGTAGCGAGGCTCCATATTGTAGTGTACTTAACTCCCAGATTCTACGCCAACTTTACACTACAGGAACAGGGAAATAAAATCACCCCGGTTTAAAAATGACCACCGGAATGGTATTTCTCTCCATAAGCTAACAGTGGCACGTTAGATTAGTTATAAACAATGCTATATGACCTGAAGTACGGTAGGAAAGAAACGCAAAATAAAAGACAGCAAAAAGTTTGTTTAATATAATTATTGGTATTATTATAAAGATTGTGAAAGCTCGGTAATTTAGTCTATATAAATTACGTTGCAAGAATAAACTTTGAAAATGGTAGTCCACCGAGTCATAAATAATAATAGGCTGAGGAAAAAAAGAACATACCAAGAAAAAATCAGACGGCAAATTAATATTAAACTGTGTAGTAAAATTAAAAGAAATCTTGGCCTTTAATAAATCAAAAAATGGTAGTTAGGCAAATAGGCACAGTAAATTGAAAATTATCAAGTTTAAGTAATTATGAACAGCAACAGTAAATGCACAAGCTGACGGTATTTTCATGCACGTAATGCATTGAGATTAAATCATGTCAATTCTAAAAAGGTTAACTAACAATTATAAACAAATATAAAATGTTACATACAGATCGCAAATAAATTATAAAGAAATGCAAAGATTGCTACCTGCATTAAATTACACAAAGGAACAACAAACCTATACTGGACGATGCTTTCGTGACGGCAGTTAAAATGAAAATCCCATTACGTAGCAAGGGTTGATACTCGAGACCGCGCACGCGCAGACCGCTTTCCCTCCCTAATAATTCGCGCGGTTGCCAGCTCTCAAAAATGTGTGAACCAGCGCTTCTAATAATGACGTCACTGGTTGACAAATTTGAAATATAATACATATACCTACCGATATACCTATAAACAAGTATAAATTGTGCACAACTCTTGTGCAGATAAAGCGCATTTTTTAACCGAAATAACTTTTGTTTTGCCATCACCAATGGATACATTTCTCGCAGACATCTCAATTTCAGTAGAATACCATGAAGGGTAGAACATGTGTTAAACCCCCCCCCCCCCTCTCTAGAATGCATTGGAAAGGCCTAGAAAGCGTCTAAGAAGCCCGGAGAAGAACTAAAACTGATAAGTGCCTATGAAGCTACTATATATATATATACCTAAACCGAGTATGAAGCGGATCTAAAAAAGCGGCAGACAGAACAGTAGTACCCTACGGGGTCATTAAATTGAACCCGCTGGTTATAAGTGGCATATAGGTCAACTGTGCAAAGTTTGAACCGAATCGGTCCATACGTTTGCCAGTTATCGTGTTCACATCACAGATCACAGACAGACACCATCGACTCCCCTAAAAAGATTGCATCACTTTGCTCTGCTGATAATAACCTAAAAACGGAATTCCGGAAAGGACAACTCTTTGAAAGCAATAGAAGACGTTATAAAGTATATGCCTGAGACACTATTGCTGTAGAAAGCGTTTATGTTTTCATAATATACTTACCCTTCGAAAGCTCTGACGGGATATAGGAGGCTCTAGAAGAAATACAGAAAAGCGTATTCTAGCCCGAGCCTCCTAGCACTATCTTCAAGGCACCAAAAGATCTATAGCGCTTTCCATTGGATTTTAAGGTTCTTCATATTACTTTTATGTTTACTTGTATCCAGAACCCTCTATTGCGTTCCTGTGTTGGATGTGCCTTTTGTTATTTTATTTCTTCTTTTCCCATCAAAAGTGTGTAACGACGACCCTGTCCATTTTGCGGGAGGCTAATGGAAATAGAAAAAGAACACTAACGGATTTCGTTTCAGCCATGGGGCAAAATAGAGGTGTAGGTACTTACGAACTGCCGTATAAATATCAAATAAAGACCATGCAAAAGTGACATTTCTATAGTTCAAAAAACAACCCCCTAATCCGTCTATGACCTTGAAGGCAGCAAAGTGCAGTAGCTGCCCGAGTGGTTACCGAAGGACCTCTAAGATGGGCGGTCAACACGTTCAGTCCCTTTAAAGAGTGCAGGACCGGACGGAATATTCCCGGCTCTTCTGCAGAGGGGCTTGGGGTCGCTGCTTTTAAATTTGTTGCACCTCTTTAGATATACCCTTGTCCGAAAGCTGGAGAAAGGTAAGAGTTGTGTAGGTACCTACCTAAGCCGGGTCGTGCTAAATGTATGGCGAAGGATTACAGGCCCATCAGCATATCATCGTCTGTTCTAAAAACGGTGGCGAAGCTGGTGGATGCATACATAATAAGGAATGGGTACTTGTTCTTAGACCACTACACCCGTTTCAACATGCTTACAGGGGGTAGCCCTGGGAGCGTTTTTAGATATCGAGGGTGTGTTTTTAACAACACCACGACCGATTCAATTAGTGAGCCTGTTGAAAGCTTTGGCATTGGAAACAGACACATTATATCCTCAATCGGGACGACGGAGATGAGCTCATCGGTTCTATAGAAGATGTCCGCAGAGTGCGGTGTTGTCTCCACTACTATGGTGCCTCTGCTGCCTGGTACTAGACGGGCTCCTCCACACTCTGCACGAGAAGGGAGCGTATACACGATTTCCCGATTATCATAACTGGAAAGTTTTCAAACACTGTGAACAAACTCATGCAGAGGGCTTTTGAACAGGTGAGTATAGGAGGCGCAGTAGCCATGGTCTTTCCGTTAACTCGGAAAAGGCCGAGCGTTGTTCCATTTACGAATAGAAAGGAGAGCGGACCTTGATGGGCTCGCTCTTCGAGGACTTAATTGGGTCTGGTCAGGTCAGAGAAATATTTGGGAGTCAACATACTCCCGCCTGACCTGGAAAGGTAACATTGAGCGAATAAGCAAAAAGGCCACTGCATGTTGATGTACATGTAGAATGGCTTTTGGTTGTACATGGTCATTTTCCCGGACAGAGAGCAGTGGCTGAACTCGGATTGCCCGTTCCTCAAACCTTGGACTCGTGTGGGTCCCTAATAACAGAAAGGGGAAAGAGCTGACGTCAGCTTCTCCCTTGGTCAGCATAGTACTGTGTTTCAGATAGACATGTTAACCATCATGGCCTGTATGCACAGCGATAGGTTACCGTAATCAGCATATGCAGTAACAATCAGGAGGCTCTGTCAGCAGACAGGTTCCGATCGGCTATGACTCCTTAATTGCAGGCAAATTCTAGATAGATTAAGGATTAAGTGAGTCTAATAGAGTTAGCTTGATCTGAGTGCCAGCGCACTGCGGAATAAGAGACCACAAAACGGCTCTCTCCGTTGTCAGGACTAGGATTAAAGGACTGAGTTACCAGTCAATTCCAGCCTCAGTGGTAACAACCAAACGGACTCAAACAGTCCAGGGCCTTTTTAACAGGGCCTGTTAGCAAATCTGGGTCTTTTAAGCTTCTAAAACTGAAGAGAGAAGATGGTCAACTATCACCTGCATAACATTGGGCTTGTGGAGGAGCCCACATGCAGGTTCTGTATGGTGAGGTAGATGAAACCACCTAGCAAGTCGTCTGTCACGGTGATACCTTGATCACAGACAGACATCAACTCCTTGGAGACAGCTATCTGGAACTGGGGAGGGTAACGCAACTTAGGCTAAACAGGAAGAAAGGGGATAGGCACAATGGGCCTTTGGTGTGAATAGAGATAGAGAAGACACATTATTTTATCAAATATGAAGTGGATCTGCTTGTGAATTAAACAGACCATCAGTTAGCTAGAGAACTGCGCCCCATCGAACACCGACTTGGGGGGGAGGGGGCGTATTTAATATGAAGTTGAGGAGCTAATTTCATGAGTCATTTTCAAAATATTTTAGTGCTTAGAAAATCAATGGTGGACCTACATTTATTAAATTAAACAAATATTAACATTTCAGGCAATAATTGTGCAGCACATAAAATAAATTAAATTATAGGAAATATTTCACAAAAGTAATTAAATAACTAAAGAATCCTCTTTTCCCCAATGAGAGCGATTTTTAAGTCTGGGAGGTGTATTTTCGCATTGCCCAAAAGCGCCTTTCAAATCCTTTCCTTTAAGTACAGGAATTTTGCTACCCTTCTGCAGTTTTGTAGGTTTGTCACTAACTTTCAAAACGGGTATGGTCCTCTTCGTTTGATTGTTAGCGTTGCGATCGCTCAAAGGTGTGCGATGGCCGCTCTCTATTGGTTTGCTAACTTTCGGACTTATGTTGACTTCTTTATCTTCGTAAATTAGGTTGGTTAGTTTGCGATCTATTTCGGTTATGCATTTGGTTATGTCGGGAATGGCCTCAGAAGCATCGGAGATGTTGCTGCAGGTTTCTTCATCTGGTATATCAGGAAGATAACTATTTTCAGATTGGTTAGATTCAGTAATTGCAGTTCCAGATTCTACTTCAACTGGCAGAGGATCTACATCACTATTTAGCTCTTTTTCTCTTATGATGACATTGTCTATATCTGTTTCTACATAATCGATGTTAGTTTCTAACAAACCGATAAATGAATGTCTTTTATTTTCAATGTGTTTTACAAGTTTTGTGTTCGTCTCTAAAAGTTTAGGTGGTGTATCTTCCAGCACATCGTTTGAGATTGTACTGATAACTTGTGCAGATTGTTTAAGAGGCGTTAAAGTAACGGGTGGTCTGCGAGCTTTGTCTAAGAATTTATTGTGTACACCATAAGGTAATTTTGTTTCTCCTTTAATCATAAGAGGTGTTCTGTGAAAATCTGCTGTGGGAGAGCGAGGATCTATGTCGATTTCATTTGAAACATTACAATCCAGTACACTGATACTATGACAAGTAGATGCTTCTTTCGGAAGTGGTGTTCGTAAAACCTACAATTTGTATGAGACATATGTTACAACTTGCGTGTGTGTGCATACCTCGATAGGTGTCCTCGAGATGTGCGAGCTAGGAGAACGGGGATCAAACTCCAACCTTCTTGTTTGGGGAGTTTGTATTGGGGCAGAAGGAAGTTTCTCATCACCTTCTTCCTTGAACCCATTCTGAACTCTGCTTAAATTGCTGCCCATAGTGGAAATTTGCAACGGCACGTGGATTTTCAGTTAATATAAATCACTTTTTCACTCAATCATAAAAAAAACGTTTTAAATCAAATAACACAAATCGTTAAGGGTACTAAACAGTGCTGCCAATCCAACGCATAAAGAAAAACAACAAATTTTGACCGCATTCAACTCGCACCAGATCATGTTTCATGTGTATAATCAATTGATTTGATACTAAGGTTTAGTATCATGGATTCAATTCAACCATCGCCATTCAAGCCTTAGAAAACTTCCTTTCTATGATTTAAACCTTATCTAAAACTCTGAGCAGAATTGTAGCATAAACGATAAACCATTTGTTTGTTGGGGAATGAAACCCATTTCTAAACTCTAGTCAGGGAATTTCTGTGTTCTACATTTTTGTTGTGGCCAACTTGATGATATGACAACATATAAACATAACCTACATTTAAAATGTAAAATGTAAATGTAAATTTAAAATTTGAAAATAATTAAGGGAAATATGCGTAAATTTTTTAATACAAAAATTAAATGCAGTAAACTTTTAGCTGTATCCATTTTATCCTTCCTTCTGGGGGCAATTCTAGTAACAAATCTATTTCCAATCAATAAAACTTGTCGATTGGACAATACCGATAGAGAATATAACATAATGCAAAATTCGAAACTGAAAAGCCCCGAGTTGATAATATTAATAATGTCGGCACCTAAAAATCTGGAAAGACGTAATGCAATTCGAGAAACTTGGCTCAAGTTAAGGAACCGTACGAACAAAATCTTCAAACATTATTTCGTTATCGGTAGTTTCGAGTTAGCGGCAGATCAGATTTTGCATTTAAGCTCTGAGCAATCGGTATATAGCGATATGCTAATTCTACCAATGGTCGATAGTTATGCGAACCTTACGTTAAAAGTTTTGAATAGTTTTATTTGGTTAAACGAACAGTTAGATGTAGGCTATAATTTTAAGTACGTTTTGAAATGTGACGACGATAGTTTCGTTAGAATAGACAGTTTATTGCACGAAATTGGGCACATTGAATTAATGTATCTCAAATCTAACTTGACTGAAGCAAATTTGTTGAATGACAATAATTCACCGTATCTTCGGGTGAATGTGCAGTACAATGATAAAAGTGCTCTTAGAAACTTGAATCTGTATTGGGGATATTTTCATGGGAGAGCTCGTATACAAACTAACGGAAAGTGGACCGAAAACAACTGGATTATGTGCGATTACTACATGCCCTATGCTTTAGGAGGAGGCTACATCATTTCCAAAGATTTAGTACATTACATTGCCACTAATGGGAAATATTTGCGGTGAATTTGATTAAAAATATTTTGATCGTGTTTTTTAATGTTCTGTTATTTCAGCCTTTATCAGTCCGAGGATGTTAGCGTGGGTGCTTGGCTGTCGGTCGTTAATAATGTTTTACGTATACATGATGCAAGGTTCGATACAGAGTGGACTTCTAGAGGTTGTCAAAATTATCATTTAATCTCTCATCATTTATCAGTAAAATTAATGCGTTCAATTTATAATAACATAGAAAAAACTGGTAATTTATGTAACAATGAATCAAGTAAGAGGGCATATTATTTGTATGACTGGGGAGTTCCACCTAGTAAGTGCTGCAATAAATAAAGTATACCAATTAATTATTTTGTTGTTGTTTAGTTAAGATTTTGAGTTTTTCTTGTGTTTCTTTGAGCTGAATAATGCACTCTCCAGTTCCTACAACATACACCATTGTTTAAATTTTAAATACATTTAAACAATACCCAGATTGTACCATTTTATCTGCCCCACTTACCATCAAATGTAACATCAAAACCTTTAAGAGATAACTAGGTGCCGAGTGAAACCTATCCCATTTACTCTCAGCTCCTCTCCTAGGTGGCAAAAAAATTAGTTAAACAAATAGAAAATTCTTTATAGAATTCAAAACTTGTCATGCATACAAGCTTCTACAATGTAAAGTAACAAATTTGATTGGACTTAGAACATTTATAGTTAACTAATTACCTAAATGTAGATACTTTAAAACATTAGACACAAACTTCAATTAACAAATAATTTAAAAAAAATAGCTCATTCGTCATCTTCAGATTCTTCCTTTTTCATTTCAATTTGTTGCTCTTTATAATGTCGATATTCAGGTTTTAATTCCCACATATTTTTATGGGGATTTTTTGAATTATAATTGCAGACTTCATTTAAAATCTCTTTCAAGTAAATAATGGGTTGTTTGGTAATTTTGACTAGATCCTTAATATTGTAATACTGATGCTTTTCGAAAGCAGCGAACAGCATTTCCAAAACGGCTTCCTTATTATCCCTAGCCTTCTTGCCTTCGGCTTTCTTTCGTTCTGTGTATTCAATCTGAAAACTATGTTTAACACTTTGTACATGATGGTGTTCCTTACGTTATTTTTATGATCTGATACGGGTTTATAATTTTGCACAATTCTGTCAAGTTGTTTAACTTGTCTAACTGGTACAGAAGCCTTCCTAATTGACTCTAACTTTAACTTCATGTAGCAATTATCGGCGTACGGCCGACACTCTAATTTCTGGACAATACGCCCTTCCATAAACAATTTTTCCGTTTCAGGAACAACAGAATCGGTATTCACAGCTGAAGATTTACTTGTTATCGTGCAATAAAGTGAGGTACAAACTTACGTGTCATATGTGAGAATACCCCCAGAGTTTGTTGCGTCACTGTCGACACATCTAATCTATGATCTTTGGGAATGTCCTCCTCGCGAGCATCCCCTAAATTCAACACAGCTGGTGATAATGTTAATGACACTTGGGCTTTTTGTCCCGGTGTCCTACGAAGAACGCATTTATTAATGGTAAAATGCACCAGTTGTTTGCATACCTAGAAATCTTTAGCTTGCCTACTTCTATGTCGCCAGAAGCCTTCTCCCATCTGTTCGCGATATATTTTGGCACCTTCACTAGCCATACTCCACGATTAGCGTTTGAGAGATCTAAATCTCTATCGATATGACTAGTAGTCGTCATTTTCTTAACCGTTTTAACTCCGAAGGAAATTCAACAAACAACGCAAATGTGAAAAGCGCAAATGTCAGGAAAATTAAGCCGCATGACCTACTTTATGAAATTGAATTGAACTACAGTAACACGTTTGAACTACACAACTGCAGCTAAACCAATCTGTAGGCAAAGAATAATTATTAGTTACTCTTTGCTGTAGGGTACTCTTAGTGCTAATATTACATATTAGTCTCATCATCATATGTTTGTCCAATTTTTATAGAATTTACGATATAGTTGATGTTATAAATAGAAAAGCAAATGTTAATTTCATAGTGAAAATTAGTAGTTCCTCTGTATTCAAGTAGTTCCACAGTCATAAAATTTTAAAGTAGGTTAGAAGTGAATCTAAAACAGTAATTTTTCCATTTTTCCGAGTTTTCCATTATTATAAAAGTTGTATTTACAATTACAATGCTATTATCATTACGAAACGATCACAAGGAACATCTAAGTTTATTGTTTAATCAATCTGTTCAAGGTAAGTGGCCTGAACTTTCCCTTGTGCTCCACAGTTAGAGGATAAATCGATTACAGTTTTTAATTTAGTTTTAGTCGACTTTTGTAAATTAGCCATTGATTTTTTACAAAATGGTCCTAATCTAAAACTGTACAACAGCGCAGCTCAAAAATTGCAAGTGGAAGCGGAGAACGTTCAAAACTGCATTTATGGCTTAGTGAACCTATTGCTCGAAAGTTGCAAGCACAAGGTAGGTATAAGCATTGATTAACTGTTAATCAATGGTATAAGTAAAAAAAATCTGTTCCCACTCAAAAATTATTGCAGCTGAGTGATGCAGACTTTCGTGACTCCATTCTCACCATCGGTTTCACTCAAGAACAGCAAGTTATTTTAAGCAAACTCTACTCATCTAAAAGAAAAGATATAACAGAAATATTGTCAAAGCTAACTGTCACAGGACCGCATTACCACGATTTAAATTGGAGATTCGAAGTGCTGGTTTGTTTCTAACTAAATGCGACTACTGTTCTGTACCTTCAGTTTAGGTGGCGTCCCGTTCGTTATTACATCAAGTCACACCGATAATAACAATGGATCTCGTGTTAACCGACCCTGAGAATTCCAGTGAAAAGGAACCTGCACAAAAGCATTTACTTCTACAAACTGACCCATCAAATCTGTTACATATTACCGAGATGTTAGAGAAGGCATTAATCGAGTCTCGAAGTCGACATTCCCGTAGAATACAGCATGCATTTAGTAACTGATGAATTTATTTTTTGCCTTACGTTCATATCGCAGTAGTTAGTGCATTGTACCGTATATATATTAAATATGGTAGATGTTTGTGTTTTTATTTTTGTCTGTAGCGAATATTCCAGAGATTCCTATAGACATCGAGGCACAATGAAAGCTTAGACATCAGCAATATGTCTCGCATTCTTTCCGTGAAATAAATTACGTGTAGAATATTCGAGAAAGACTGTGGCGTTTGCTATACCTATAAGTAAAATCGAAATGCACCGCCCGCTAGATAGTTTTACCAAAATTCTAATTTTTTTAAGTTCATGTAGGGCACCATTTTTATAGTAAAAATCTAGAATTAATCTATTACAGAGGCAGTGAATGTTGAGTGCACATTTTTTTTCCAAAATGTTAGCCATTTAAATATTTCAAAGCCATAAAAAAAACTAAATATTTAAACGGCTGCCATTTTGAAAAAAATGTTATATTTTTTTATGCTTTATCTTGATATTTTGCCAAATTTTTTTTAAATAACAAGGTTTAAATGAAAAATATGAAATTCAACCGCCGTCTTGGATTTTGACAGATTCCCATGGCCGGAATTAATGGGATTTTGAATATGTTAAAATAGACGCTTCTCACAGTATAATGCAAAAAAGATCATTTGTGTTGCAATTTTGCCCAGGTCATAATTTTTACTGCACTGTACAATATGCACCAACACACCAGTAGAAAAGGAGTTAATAAGGGAAGGTTTTATGGGTTTATTAGAAAGAATAGGTAGGATATAAAATAAAAGGGTAATTGGTGGTCTAGTAGAACTTTTACACAAAAAAAGTCAATCTGGAGCATTTCGAAAGGTAGCTATAGTAACCATTTTTTAATATACCTATATCTACGTGTTGTTACTTGTTAGTACCTATCTCTGTTAGAAGTAATAATCCAGATCTACAAGTATGAATAAGGTGTGATTATCGTAATAAAAAATGCTACTGAATACAGTATGTAGGTACATATTTACAAGCCATATAAAAAAAGATTGATTTATCCAAAACGTAAGGTTGCATTGAAAATCTGTCAACACTGTCTTGTAATAGCAACAATAACAGTGTTTTTATTTTTTGGTGTTCATTCCCTACTAAGCTTAGAATCATTGCGTTATTAACACTGGAGAACTGTCTCTAGTACAGGGAACAGTTGGATTAAAGGGCAGCTTATCGGAACTGTAACCCCGAGGTTACCTATTTTAGTCTTGGATAAATTTAGAGTTCCTTCCTAATCAGTAGATAAACAGATTTAATCAGGCCAAGATAGATCCATGATATAAATTTATTTGTTTAACAAATCCCTTAATTACTTAGTATTAAAAGACTTTAGCAAATGGATTTATTAGTATATGTACATATCTCAACTTTAATCTAGTTGCATAATGAACCAGTAAATTTAAAAAGTGAAAAATCTTGTAAAAATTTAATGAGGTCATGTTTCCATATCAATGAGATCATTCGATATATTGACTATGATTTGAACACTAGAATTGAATGCTTTCTATTTAACCTTCTTAGAGACCCGAGTAGAGACCTTAGTAGTACTAGTCTTTCCAAGAACCTTTTTCCTTTGCCCAAACATGTGCATGTAAAGTGGTGGAAACACTGAAACAGATAAACCATAATTAACTGTGCCCTTTTTTTTTGTTCAATCCTACTTACATGGTATGTACAATGCCATTAGGAACATCAAAAGATATGGATAATTAAAGGTAACATTTAAATAATTGGGTAATGTTACTACTCCATAATTGTTCCTTCTAAATTCCATACACGCTGCATATATGCACAACAACTCGCCTGTTACTCCAAGTGGGTAAAGCCCAATGAACAGTGTGTACCTAAAAACAAAAATTTTCTTAAAATATCTCTAGCAATTAACTGTATATAGTAACAAATTATAATGGCTTGTCAATTTACCCTTACTCATTAATGTGTATATGCCCCTGTCACATCTTACAAGACTCCTTCATTACCTACTTGCTTAGTAATTTAAGGAATTTAGCTCATTAACAGTAATTACAGAAAAACCTATATAATTGCACCTATTACCCATAAATATGCTACAAAGGGCAGCGAATTACAAGATACTGATAATTTTAAAATGCCTTCAACGACCTAAGTGAGCCAATTACAAGAAACAAAAAATGTTGTAACATCCTGTAAGATAACAACTTACCTCAGCCATAGGAGAAATTGTGGAACAGCATTTACAAGATTTAATGTGTAATATCCATACCGAATAATTTCGGTAACTGACCACGCAGCAAGAATCAGGGGCAAACCAATACCAAGCTGTGCATCCCGTGACAGCATTAATACTCCGCAAACGAGCATTACTCTGGAAAACACCTGTTGAATCGTAACACTAGGTGACGATGGTACTAGCCGGAATACTGCGTGGAAAATTTCCAACACCGCCGCATTTTGAAATATAAAGAGAGGCGTTTTAATACTTTCATATAGAGAACCATCTGTCGCGAAAGTAAAGTGAATGACTAGCAAATACAAAATGTACGACCAACTGAAATAGATTAATAAATTAGTATTGTAATTGAATTTTAAGTAAATAAAATAAATACATACCCAACAGTCTCTATAAGGTTATAAAAAAATAAATAAACGGAAGATTTATTTTTTAACATCGTCGCAATTGCTGCTTGCCAGCGTTGTATGTATTGCATAAACGGCGGAAAATTGAATGACTTGCCATAATTCGAATTATTGGACTTTCTATTCTTTAAGGTCATGTTTTGAATGTGTAAGTGGCATAAACATAATTTCTCCTGCCACCGTTTTGTGTACTCTGGTATAAAAATAACCTAAAAAACAGTTTGTGTACAGGGTGTTTCATCAGTTCCGTTAAAAAAGGTGCACAAATCACATTTGTGAAAAGCGTGTAGTAGTGTTGTACCATATACAATGGTTGTACTATTGAATATATGGCTAGTTTATAAATACAATGGTAGTACTCACCGGGGATTGAAACCCATATGAAATATAGGTTCCGGTTCCGCACTACTGAAGTCGTATAATTTTTTAAGAGTTTCAGCATAAATGAATATATTATAGTTATAGGAAAAAAAATAATAGGTACACAAAATTAAAGTACATGAATTTTTTTTTTGGTTCCGCTTCCAATTCCTGCTACTCAGAGAATTTGCGAGAGTTGTAAAGGCATTTTTAACAAAAGGACTACCGCAATTTATTTATTAACAAAAAGTGGCGCCCTACGGTAGCATATAACTCCATACGAATTGCCAGCTCAACTTGTCATGTCTACTTACAGTGTAGATACACAAAACTACACAAGATATTCGAAATCGATAACCTTGAGAAAATAAAACAATAATTTGACTATTTATTTCGCTATATCAATTTTCCAAGTAATTAAATATGGACCTATAGCTACATGAACAAAATTACTCATGAATTTAGGCATTATTATTAACTTCTTCAATGCATTTTTCTCTCTTAATCATCATTTGACTTTAATTATCTTTTGTGAAACATGGCAATAGGCTTGGATTCGGAATATACAGGAAAGGTTCAACAGGATACAAAACTGGCAAATACTTATAGCCAATGAGAATTGTGGGCATTTTGTATTACTCATATCGCAAAACTATAAGAATTTGTAATCTTACAAGCCCTCATGCATACCCACATTTAGAAATATAATCAATGCAAGACATACCATGTCGGCCCTGATGGGATTTTTGCTACCGCAGCACAGATGCAAAATTGTACCATAATTACTATCATTATAATGGCATCGAGTAAGGTTTTCACTCTTAAGATATTACGTAATCACTCCAATTTGCAAAAACTTCCTACAAGAACTGTATTACACTTACATGACTCTATACTTTTGTAAGGCAGTAAACATATGTGTTCATCTGTTGATCATTGTGGCAATGCAATGAGTAATTCTAATTACCATATTCTACCTAAATTTCAGATAACATATCGCATGTCAGGGTATTAAAGTTTATGATGAGTCTGGTGACACTGTTTTACGCAATTCCATAAAGACATGCACATTTATTTTATGTAAGGGTAGTTTATTATAAATTAAATTAAATACATTTCTATGTACAAAAACATACAACATGCTCATTAATTACGTAGTGACTTTAATACATTTGATAATGTCTCGATTGATTCAAAATGTAGGGGATTATCCTTATCTAACTGCTGAGCAAAGTTTGTGACACACACACTAAACATTTGTAATTGCGGTGTGTTGCCCTGCAGCCAAATTCTAGGTAAAATGTGACTAATTAAACCGACCTTTGCCACTCCGTCTGTAATTTGACACACTTTAACTGCACTAAGCAAATAACGATTGAGTAAGGAATTTAGGGCGATTTCTTTCAACATATTATCATTCAAGATCCCTTGCCAGCACGTAATGTTACGCAAGAGCTTGAGGCCGCTAGCAAACTGACGCTGAAAAAATGAAGATTTGCTCTCCGACAATTTAAAGGTGACCGGTATAAAAACGTCATTCTCTAAAGCTCCCTTTAATTTGTGTAATATTGCGTTGAATAGATTTTGCAGAGGCTTACTTGCGGGACCGAGTGATGGGAAACGTCGTATATAGCGGCTCAAAATACCTACAAGTTTGAGAGTCTGTGAACTTGATAACGGGTCCCAACATCTATCTACTAATTTGTCTAATTTTGGTATTATAATTTTTTCGATAATTGTGGGTAGTAAATTAATATCGGGATCTTTACTTAAAGCTGCCTCTGTTTCGTCATCGTGTAAACCGTACAAGGCTAAAGTACGATACCACTCCAACTTCTCCAACTCAACTGATTCGGAAAGGGGATCCCAAAATATTAAATTGAGCCTAATTAGAGGTCCGACAATGCGAGGTAGGCAAAGTGTTGCGTAGGCATCTGTGTACGTGTTCATGTCCGTCTCGCGCCACTGCTCAAATCGAATTAATATATTTGCGACCGAAGTGTAATCATCCACAACATCCTCGAATACCTCTTGAATCTCCCCATCCAACTGTTCCCTCTCTTTGTCAAAATTTAGAGTGTCTTGCTGAGTAATCTCATCATCACTCGACATCCCCTCGACATGACGAGGCTGACCTTGCTGTTCCCTGGCACGCCGCCGTCGTGTTCTTCTCCCCTCTCGCTCTGCAGCTCGCCGAACCTTCTCCTCGTCCTCGTTAGCCCTACGAACAATTCCTTTCGCCATACTCGTTAACTCCTCTGCCTGATCACGCACATCTTGTCGCCTTCGTTCTATCAGCCACTCGGCTTTATGGGCCATTAAATTTAACGCGCGCTGTTCTAAATCAGAAATAATGCCAACTTTTTCATCTAGACACTCAACCAAGTCGGTAATGTAGCCCCGTAACTCCTGATAAAATTTAAAGCGCTCTGCAGCTACGGGTGCTCGTTTTTTTAACACTTCCAGTTCGTTATTTACTTCAATCAAATTATCCTGTACAGTAATTAACTGTTGCATATGGCTGTTACGCGATGCACAGACGCTTTCAAATTTTTCCCTTAGCTTCTCAATAATTGCCTCGGGTGTACGTTGAGTGCTCGGGTCAACAGCAGGTGTTTGAACCTGAACGACAGTAGGATCGAACTGATTGTAGTACTCTGGTTGAATATTAGCTGCGGATGCGCCCGTCACACCTTTCCTAATTTGTTGATTTTCCCATTCGTCTAACTCTTGATCCGCCTCTTGGTCCGATTCCTGCGCTGCCAGAAATTGCTCCCTTCGTCGTTCCTGATCGCGAACCTCTGGATTGGCATCCATATCAATGCGCTCCTCGTCACTCACCTCGTCTTGATTATCTTCGCGATGCATTCGTCCTGAACCTACCAAGCAAAAAACTCATTTGTTAGTGTCCTTATGTAAAAGTAGAAACTTTCAGAAATGTACTCAAATCTATACCTACTAAAAATGACTGGAAAATAGGCACTATAAACTAATGACCTTAAAAACTGCTCAGAATAAACATGTAAGTAGGATACCAAATATGAAACTTACCTTCAGGCTCTTCTTCTTCTAGAGGAACAAATTCGCCACCCAATTCCCTAGCACGTTGTCGCCGTTTTCTAGCTGCATGGATCATAGCTGCGTCAGGTATAACACCGGACTCCAGCAGTATCTTTACTTTATCGGGTTTACTAAAACGATGCCTTGCGGAGTCTTCTTCGTCGGAGGAGAGATCATCCTTTCCAGCACAAAGAGCGTCTCTGCCGCTAAGTATTAAAGGTGGCGAGGGAGTTTTCGGCTTGTGATTCGAATTTACTTTCAATACTAGATCGTCTGTGACAATTTCAGTGACCGGCTCTTTTACGGATTTTATTTCCTCCTTCTCCGGTTTTGGCTCTTTCTTCTTTTGCCGCTCCTTCTCGAACAGTCTCATAACTCTCTTACTGTGCGACGACTTTTTTACTTGAAACACTTCACCTTCCTCTTCCGTTTCAAAACTTAACAGTGGCTGTTTTTTTGGTACGTGTTTAGATTTGTCTTTCTTTTTGTGTTCTCTTTCGGTGGAAAAACTTTCCTCTACATCCATTAATTCATCATCATCGTCCCGCTCGCTGAAAACTCGTCGTTGAATAGATTTTTTTGGTTTTCTAAACAACGACATTGTTCTTGGATTTTTTCTATCCCTCTATTGATTAAAAATACTTAAATAAAACATAAAATCACAATTATTTAAAAGGAAAAATGAGCACGAATAACATAGGTTATGTTTTTAACTGTCACTGTCATTTCAAATGCTTGTTGATTGCACTGACCTCTATTGATACAACGCATTTTATATACAATGGTATTATTTATAAAATTTACTTTATACAAATTGCAGGCAGTGTTGTCAACTGATAAACCAGTAATGAATTTAAATTAAAGAAAGAATGAAAGAAATGATACTGCATTAAAGCATTGATTAAACACACCAACTGTTGTATAAGCATGATTAAAGATTTACTAAAGCCCACTTGACATGAGCAATAAAAATTGTAATTGCATGCAACTTGCAAGAGAAATTGCGAAAGGCATGCGCAGTTCAAAGCCAGCTAGTCAATTGCTGCAAGAAACTTACATGCAATGTTTATAGGGCCGAGGCTATTTTGCTTGCATGAACCGCCCAATCAGGGCCGGCTCGTGGGGTGAGGCGGCGAGGCGGCCGCCTCAGACGGCATAATCTTAGGGGCGGCATTTTTGAAATTTAAAAATTTTAAAAAATGTTTTATTATAATAATGTAGTATAATAATAAATCTTTGTAATGCCCATTGACTGAAAGCGATTATAAAATATAGCCAGGCCACTAATTTGCGATATATGTAATAGAATAGCATGGTTTTTTTAAATTAGTTTATCGTACTTGATAACGAATAAGCTAGCGCCGGCGGTGATACACCAATGTCGCTGCATCGCTTATTACTGCTTAATCGTTATAGACGGGAAGTGAAGGAATCGTGCAATGCCACATAGGTAAAAAAAAAACCTTTAGAAATACTGGTAGTCCAGTATGTTAAGATAATTTTGACGTACAAAAGGTGGTGTAAAAGAGTTTATTGTTTTAAATGGTCCATTTGGGTCCAAATAACATGTATTGGAAGAGTACACACAAATTTTTTCCCGGCACAACTTTTGGCAGCCAAAAAACCTCAAAATATTCGGACTTTCTTTAGTTTTGCGCTTAAAACTCGAAAACGGTCCATATTTTATGAATAACACTTTTGAGTAAATTAAAGAAAACAAAATTCTGCGTCGATAAAAAAAAACAAACAAAATCGGTCCCATAGAAAAATTTTTACAAGCGATCAAAAAACGCCCTTTTTTCTACGATTTTATTTAATTTTCTGGTTGTTTGGTGGTACTTGTATTAAAGAACCAATTAACAAACAAAAAACCTTTTGCCCTTTTCATTCGGGCGGCAAAGTTTGCGCTTGCCTCACCCATATTTTTTCGACGAGCCGGCCCTGCGCCCAATTGTAGGGATAAATCTAGTTGTGTTTGTGTTAAAATACAGCGGCCATAACACTAATGCTGAAGGACACAATTATACCTATATAATTATATATAATTATTAGGTACTTTTTTTTATTACTTAACCTTATTTATTTTTGCAGTTTTTATAATTCAAAATCATTATTATTATATAAAGTTAGCAGAGCTGGGCAGAATACTTTCAAAAAGTATTTGAATACTAAATACTTTTACGTCCAGCACAAGCGAATACTAGATACAGATACATTGAAAAGTATTCAAATACTTAAAAAACTAAGTATTCAAATAGGTACTTTAGAATGTATTCGAATACTTTCAAAGGTATTCGAATACTTTCATAAGTATACTATCAAAGGTATTCGAATACTATAAAAAGTATTCGAATACTTTGAAAAGTATTTCATTATCTTACTTTGAAAAGTATTCGATTACAGTAAAAAGTATTCAAATACTTGTCACTCAAATACATTAAAAATTTAAAATAGTATACTAGATAAAAGGCTTAATACTACTTAAAAAATCAAGTTATACTTTGTATGGGGTTAGCTATTTTTATATTTCTATTGTTATATACAAATTTAAGGGAAGTAAAAGCGTATTATTATTATTATTATATTATTATATAGGAGGTACCTACCAGGACCTTTCTTATACCACTTAAATTTGAATTTTCTTTCGAAATTGGTTTCTGGTCTATAACTTTTGATTGAGAAGTCTGATCGAAAAAGTACGAATTGTTTTGGATTCTACGCCTCAAAATTAATAAAAAAAAGTGTTTTCCCGAGAAATTTTGGTGTAGTCGATTTTTGGTAAAAAAGGAAGGTTATACACTGCCTTTTTTTTGAGGCCCGCAAAAAAATTGTCTCAGATGGACCCGGAAAAAAAATTTTCTTATAGAATGTGGCCTGTAGAATCCATAATTTCAAACAGTTCCAAGATTGGGCTACTAGTTCAAAAGTTACAGCCCTTTGAATTTTCTTTCGAATTGGTTTCTAGTTTATAACTTTTGATTGAGAAGTCTGATCGAAAAAGTACGAATTGTTTTGGACTCTACGCACCAAAATTAAAAAAGAAAGTGTTTTCCCGAGAAATTTTGGTGTAGTCGATTTTTGGTAAAAAAGGAAGGTTATACACTGCCTTTTTTTGAGACCCGCAAAAAAAATTGTCTCAGATCGACCCGGAAAAAAAATTTTCTTATAGAATGTGGCCTATAGAATCCATAATTTCAAACAGTTCCAAGATTGGGCTACTAGTTCAAAAGTTACAGCCCTTTGAATTTTCTTTCGAATTGGTTTCTAGTTTATAACTTTTGATTGAGAAGTCTGATCGAAAGAGTACGAATTGTTTTGGATTCATTTTTTCGCTACAACCAGCAATATCTAAATCTGCAACCTTAATGTCTGTCTGGACATTTTTATCATGGTCCTTAATTTTCCAGAATTAAATTAGATTATAGGTACTTACCTGTATTTAAAAATAGGTAGTATTCTGAACATTTTTAAGATAATGTAGCATACATGTGATTTGGGGGGGGGGGGGTGAGGGGGGTTGGTCCTAAACCTCTTCATGTATCACCAGGAGAGGATGGGGGGTTTAAAAAGTTGCTGAGAAACATCACGTGATTAATGGACGACCCCTTACAATAAATATGTACAGAAACCTATAATATTGCATAGAGCTGATTTACCAACTAATGTACGATGGTTGTATGACACTTCCTATTATTAGGCATTTCACAGTACAGAATAAAAAGCGATCAATTTTTCTTTCACAATTCCATTACATTAAATTACACACACAATAAAGGAGAAACAAGAACAATGCAACCATTTTATTGTAATATAGATATATTTCAAAACTCCAATAATGTACAAAAAATATCTGTGTAATTAAATAATGTTTTGTCTGTCAATTTGTTCATCTTTTAATTTAATGGCTGGGTGTAATTGACAATAATCAAGTATGAATGCTAGCACTAATATAAGGTCTAGGAACGCTCCTAGCAACAGTAACATGGCGATCGCCTATCACAATGTCCAACAAAACGAGCTCTCCAATAACGTGATTTAAATTATATATAAAATATTAACAGTTACTATTTTTGGTAATGCGTAGCATGAACACTCACCGAAAGGAAGACAACACTAAACACATTCAAATAATAACAGGCGCCGGAACGCTTACGTACTGAATTTTAAACAAGTCCAATAATAAAATATAATATATAAATATAAACAAGTCCCAATTTATTTACAATTGCACTCGTACCCTGCGCCTTCCCTCGCTCCGCACTACCCTAACGAAACGAACAAGCAACGTAGTAATGCACTTGATACAGCTAACCTGTCTAGATTACAGCCTGCGGTACTTAACCGTTGAGGTACCTAGTAGTATATAATATATATATGCATATATATTTTTTTAAAGATAACTTATTTATATACACGCGGTCACTCTGACAGCAGCTTTTGCAGCAGAGAAGACTTGTGATCACCTTGGCGGCCCTCCTCCATAGAACTCTGAAATACAAAGCGCCATTAAGATACGATTGACGAATAATCGAGATAATAAGTAAAATGTATGTATACAGCGTGGCATGCAAGCAAGATTAGTTCAGCAAGCGGGGCCAGCATGAGTGGACAGGAGTGTAGCTTACCCTGGAGGTTGCTGGCTGTGGAGACATTGAGCCCATATCTGACCCCATCGCACCCCAAAGTTTCGGGCTCTCACTCGCACCTGCACGCAACAGTGACATCATTGTACGCACTCCCTGCAGAATCACACTTACTGCCTTTATTTTTTATACTGTTAATAATACTTTTTACATGGTCTGTTTAAACTGAACACGGATGTATGTACAATAAATATGTAGTTAAATACAAGAATCTTAACTGATTGAAGTACATTAGTAAAAATAGTAAAGCAAAGTGATGTGCAAAGTTGAATACTACCATACAAAAAAAAACACATACATAGAAATCTGACATAATAGGCTTAATAGGTGGTTTTTCCTGGCTGGTAACTAGATATTATTAAGGAAATAACAATTGCAGAGTTGTTTTCCCTGATGCCCTCTGGTGAAAAGCTCCTTCAAAGAACACTGAACATTTACTTCTGTGTTTTTTTTTCATGATACTACAGTTCTACAATGAATGTGTAAGCAGATTCAAGGTTCTACAATGTGTGCTGAAGTTCACTTTCTAATGATATTATGATAGATTTTGTATTTAAGTACACAGTTTCCTATACAGTTGCATGTACATATGTAATTAAGTAAGACCATGTGTCACATTTCCAGGAATCACTTTGTGGTTGATAATAATAATACAGAGAAGATAATAAAGGCAATTAGCGTACATTCTGCCCCTTATTTGTTTAGTAGTACACAATAGGCACACTATTAAAATGAAATGTACAATAGATGACTCTTTTTTGAAAATGATATTTCAATACGAAACTGTACAGAACAATATAAAATAATTTCCAAGTTAAAAAAAAACAAAAACATTAAAATTGTTACGTCACAAAAAATACTAAAACTCTTATGCCCAAAATATAAATGCAAAGACTTCATTTCCTTTTCGCATCTTAGATTTACCTCAACGCTTGATTCAAAATTAGACACATGTAATTGAATATTTATCAGCATTACAGTGCAATGAAATGCAGCCAGATTGTATGAGTCACGCCGTGAAATTGTTTAACGTTGATTAAGGGCGTTTAAGTCAAACCAAATCCTTGGCTAATCAAAATGTTTTTTGCCACTTTGTTTATTTACAATGGCCCAAAGTAATCAATTATGGCTGTAAAAGTGAATACACTTGCAAAAATTTCATTTGCAATCACCTTAAAGAGCATGTCCATTTCATTACATTACTTTCAAGAATTTTAAATGTAATCAGTGCAATTAGGTAATCAACAATAAGGACGTCTAACGCATAATATTTCCTAAGGCTTTAATTGTGAACAGTGGAATTACACAACCAACAATGAGAATAAGATAAAGAAGCATCGTGTAACGCATAGCATATCCAAAGTCTTTATTGTGAACAGTGCAATTACACAACAAATAATAGTTGTCATTCATTGACACACGCTTTGAATAACTTTCTATCACTACTATCAGTGTAATTCCGCTACAATTAAGCGTTCGCTTAAAGTGTCACCTTAACACACACAACCTTGTCAAAAATTGAATTTGTGAACAAATGTAATTGCCCTACTCACGATAAGCAAAACTTAAAGCGGCATATTCACATTGAAGGATGTTACGTGCACTCGGGGCGATTATGTATGTCACAAATAGTAAGAAAAATTTAAATTGTTATTTTAAATTGTGGTCAGTGTAATTGTGACAGGAATGGTAAGACCTTTTCAAAACATAATCAACGTAAGGGTTTCTAAGGTTGTACTAGTGCGGCAGAAGATAAATTGTGATCTTTATTTGTAATTAGAAAATTAACTTCATTGTGTGTCCAAGCTAATTCAAAACAGGCTCGAGTTCTTAAGAAAAAGCCCTAGGATTAAGGGGTTACATTTTCTTGTCTCAAAAACAACAGAATAAATTCAATTCACTTTCACTTAATAACCTCAAGTGCCTCTAGTGTTAATCTGAATCACGAATTCTTTAGCTTACAGTACAGTACACATTACAATTTAAATCTTTAATCTATAAAGATATGCAAACGCAAGACACAATTTTCAATCCCAACTGTCAAAATTAATAAAAACAAGACATCCAAATAAAGTCAGCACCTAGTGGATCATTATAAAAATTATACTTTCAATTAGCTAACTACGGAAAATTTACTTGTATTTTTTTGCTGAATAACGGTCGCGAATATGGAAAAAAATACATGTGACCTTAAAGTTTCCAAATAAATCAGATAATCAAATTCTTATTTTACAATGTACCAGTGCCGCACCGAAAAAAAGTTCAGAGATAGGAAATATAACATGACCCCATAAAAAACAACACCCTGTAGATTCTCACTGCTGTTGACAAAGACAAACTCAAAAAATTTTGAAAAGACACCCTGTAGATCGGTAGTAATGAAGCGTTTGCGGACCTATGTTTCATGAACTTTTAGTCATACAATATGCCCAAGTATTTACACCATATTTAGAAACACCCTGCACCATCGAAAAATTGCATATTTAGGGATTTTATAAGTAGCTAATTCAGCTAGGAAATATTTACAAACCAGACACCAAACTATGCCCCTCCCCTATTCACTATATAGAAGGTACAGCAGGGTGGATCACCATTGAGATCTCCAGTATAGGTTAAATGGGGGCAAAGTTATCCCTTTTTGTGACTAAAAACAACGTTTTTGAAATTTTTGAAATGTTTTAAATAAACTAAGATATCATCAAAAAAATGAAATCTATCTCATTTCGTAAATATTCAATATGGCATCCATAAGAAATCGGAAAGTAGTTGCCTGTGGCTCCTACATCTAGCGTGCTATGAAAATTCTGATAACAAATTCAGATTCTCTGAGAAAAAGTGGCCATAAAAGGCTAACGGGAGCCGTCCATCTCGATTGTTTAAGCTAGGGAAAATGAAAAGCATTTGACATTTCAAATTTTTCAGTGAAATCTCAGTGATTTTCAAAGAATTTTCAAAAATTTCAAATGCGTTCTGTTAGTCACAAAAAGGGGCAGCCTTGCCCCGATTTAACCTACACTCTTATCTCTCACCGCTCCGAAGATACTAATGATGAGCCACCTCCATTTTGATTAGTTGATTATTATGCATTCAAGGTAGCTACACAACTTTGAGTGCATCTTTCCTTATTGTTGATATAAACAGTACCTCAACTGACACTGCCAATGAAGATAAAATATTCTTTACAGTGTGAATAACGAAATTCGCTTTGCATTTATATTTATTATTTACAAATACAATGTACAAACATATTCAGGACTCCCAAATTAAAAACGTAACAAAAAAAAACTATATTAAACCCATAACAGTTACCATATACCTCGACTACTTACCAGGAGTGGCCATTTCGAACGAAAGTCCGAGAGCTTCGAGATCACTAGGATTAACTTGTTGGCTTAATAGTTGAGGAGAAGGTCTAGTATTCGTCTGTTGTTGTGTTTGACCCGTTCGTGCTCCGACAACCGCCCGTAATTCTTGTCTTACGTATTCAGATGTGGTACCGCCGCCTGACACACCTATTAAAAATTTCTCTAGCAACTTTGTTATCGATTAACACAGTGTGACTACAAGTTTGTCTTATTTCTCGGTATAATAATTAAAAATGAGACAAACTCGTGATGAGTACACATATTCTATGCGAGACTACTCCATGCAGATAATCAAGCAAGCAATGAGTTAGAACTGGATTTCTTCCATTTGTAACTTTCAACAACATTTCAAATGACAAATGCAGAACTACACAGAAAAATTCAACATGCACCAACACTTACTTACCAGTTCAGTTATTGGAATAAACTGTTAATGGCTACAAGCACTGAATTTTTACAAATTATAAGCAACATACCAATAAGCGACATATATATTTATATCGATGATTTCAATGAGAACACGGCAACAATGAAGGGATAAAGGACTGTTTGTAACTGGATATGGTGATCCCCGAGGTTTTAGCACAGCCATGAGGCGAGCACATGTAATGTATGAGTGTTGTTAGACACAAGGCGATGTGCCGATATGAGTGCTGGTGAAATGACTAAGAGGTACCTAGAATGTTGCCTCCTATCTGGGTCACTAACATTATTAAAGTGTAAATAAAATAAAGACCTACATCGAGTAAAAAAAAATAAAATAATGTAAGTGTAAGTGAGATCATTCTAGGAACCAATACGGGTGGTGTTGACGGTGCCCCTGATTTAGCCGTTGACTTACCGGCTGATAGGTGTGGAGGTGCACGACCCCTGTCTGCGCCATTGTACACTAACTGTAAACCCGTCTGATCGTAACAGTACTGGGAGTCTTGTTGGTACATCATGGGGTGATGAGAGGGAATGGGAGGATAAGGGTGTGTAGGGTGTTCCCTGCCATATTGGCGAGGGGATCCTAGGCCACCTGTAACACACGCCACACTCAGATGGAATTCTACCTAAATCTGCTACTTACGCATAATCTTACTCACCTATAAACTCTTAACATTGAAATACGCAATTAAGAAGTTTCGCAAACATACAACCTACTATTCTAATCATGTTAAATGCAGTTTCATCAAAAGTATTTAAAAGTTTTTTACAAATTTAATCTGCTATCATGCAATTTCACCACTGCACAAACCTAAACCTCTACAGATGCATGGCCTCTACAAGTTGCTAAAATTCAAACCATGCCTAAAGTGTCGTAGGTGTGATTAAATGGAAACGCATTGCACCTCAACCCATCTGTTAAGTTTTTATATATATAAAATCAGACTAAATTACACCATACGAGCAGATAAGAATTTTTAAAAACTGCAAAAACTCTCAAACTTGTTTAATAATTAAAAAAAGTGTAAGAAAAAAACCTTCCGTACCTGGTAATTGGGTAGTGGCAGTAGGTGCACTATTTGCACGCTGCAACCTCAGGTACTGAGTTTGATTAAAGGCAGAGTTGGGTGACGCAGGTGGAGCAAATGACTCTGCAGGAAATGGTGACTGTCTCGTAGCTGCCGATCCGGGACTACCAATTGCTCTTTGCTGTTGCTGAGGTGTTCTCTGTGCAGGAAAATTTCTACCATTGGTTGCGGTCACATAGTTGCTCTAATTATATAAAAGAAATTTAATTTCGTCTCTAACAAACTGACTTGTGCATATTTATTGCGTGTAACATAAAATTCACTTTTACGATTGTCCAAGTACACATTCCTGCAACTTGCATGTGTTGTTGATGGAGGTCAACATTAAGCCAAGCTAATAAGCTCAACTCAAATCCACACAAGATCTTGTATCAACAATATTTTAACTATCCAATACTTAACTTAATTGCCGATTATTCATTGTTCACTGCCTCTCATTAACAGAATTGGAGAAATGTTAAATGTACTACACTACAGGGTGGTTCAAGTTCGTGACTCGCCATTGGGATTTCTGTAACGATGAGAGACAAAGTGTACATTAAATGAGGGCAAAGTTGTTCCTTTTTGTAAGTAAAAAAAAACGCATTTGAAATTTTTGAATTCTTTGAAAACAACTGAGAGATCACCGAAAAACTGAAAATGTCAAATTGTATTTTTACTGAATAAGATAGAAGGCAAAAAGAGAAATTCATTTGAATGCATCGTTACCATAGGTCTAGTTACCTGTGGATGTTTTGTTGAGAAATGAATGTAAAACTTTTAATTTTTCTTTCAAATTTATGTAAAAGTATAGAGTGTGACTCGTCATTATTTTTCTTTTGTTGTCCTCTATCTCATTCACAAAAAATCCAATATGGCGCCGTTAAGAAATAAGAAAGTAGTAACCTGTAGCTTCTACATCTACCATGCTATGGAAATTCTGATAATAGATTCAGATTATCCAAAAAAAAGGGACCGTAGAAGGTGCTCGCGGGAACTGTCCATCTCCGGTCGTTAAGTTAAGGAAAATAAAAACAAAATTTGACATTTTTGGTGATATCTCAGTTATTTTCAAAGGTTTTCAAAAATTTCAGAAGGGTTTTTTTAATCATAAAAATGGGAACTTTGCCCTCATTTAACCTAGACTTTATCTCTCACCGTTGCAGAGATCGCAGTGGTGAGTGAGCCATGAATTTGAACCAGCCTGTACATCAAAATTTGAATTTTTTTTAGATCCTCAGTTATTCAAAATTACATTTATTTACCCTCATTAGGATAGCAGAATTCAACTATTGGTAGATACTGGATAATCGTAAAAGTATCATAAATGAAAATGAAAAAGAACCGACTTGCGCAGATGAAAAAAACCCGCTCTCCTAGCATATGAAATGCTGACGTGGGACATTTTTCAATATAACTCACCGTAAGCTGAGCATTGAGCATTGGATTCTGTTGCTGTTGAACACTAAGCCTAGACTGTGTCTGTTGCCAACTACTATTCTGTGCATTATTTTGCGGGTAACCCTGTCTAGGTGACAGCTGCTGAGTAAAAGGTGGATGCGGTGACAGTCTGGCGCTGCTGGTAGTCTGTGAGAAATTCGTTTGCTGGCCTAAAGGTGACGATAACTGCGCGTGCGGTGAAAACGGCTGGTGAGCCTTTGGTTTTGCTGATTTATTTGTCCGCCGTAATTCGGAGATAACTGCGATTCGGGGACACTAGACGAACGTTGTAGGGAAACGTTCGGCGCTACCGTATTGTTCAATAGACTATCTATGTTTTGCAAGCCGGAATTTATTTCGGCCGCTGCATTGGACGGTATAAGTAACTGTTGTTGCTGCTGCTGTTGCAATAATCGCCTCTTGTGTTCCTGCTGCTGTTGTTGTAATAGCTGTTTCCTTTGTTGTTGCAAGAGTAGTTGCTGTTGGTTCGTTATGGTACCCCCCGCCATTGCGTATTGCGGCGCGCCAGCTCTAACTGCAGCTCTTTGAACGTTGAAACCAGTTCGTGGATAATTCGGAGGGGGCGGTGGGAAATTTCCAGGTTGGCTCGTTTGAGTGGTCATCTATAAAAAAAACATTATATGGAACGTAGGACAAGTTGAAAATTGGCTCTCCCACAAATAGCTAATTTCCATGCTATCGTATTCAAAAACATTAAATTCAAAAGTGAGTGGAAGAGAACCACTAAAAAAACATGAGAAAGGGAATTTGCTGCTAATTTGTACATAATTCAGATGATCCATCTTTTTTATTATCTCATCAACAAATTCAGTTATGTTGGCAATAGCTTTTTTTTTGGGTGGGTCCTGTTTTCTGTCAAGCTAGCCTCACCCGAATACAGAAACAACAACTTTTTTTTTAATATGTAGGTTTTTTTTGGCGTTAGTGAGGAAGCCAAATGAATGCACTGAAATGCTTACCGTAGCCGAAGAGTATGCAGGAGGAGTTCCCGGCATTGAAATCGTAGGTGACGATGGACTTTGTTGTTTATTCACAACGACAGTTTCGCATTGCATCAAGGATTTTTGTATGATATTAATCGCCATCTTTTCACTCAATGCTTCTCGCTGTTGGTAATTATTTTGTTGGGCATCGATAGTTTCTAGTAGATGAAGCAAATCCGAATTGTTATTCGTCATTACCGCATCCGGAACTATATCTATAACTTGATCTAAAATATCCGACAATAACGGATCCGAGGACTGCATGTCCCACAAATCTGTAGTGGATGCGTTGACAGGCACATACTGTCCCGAATCTATTTGGTTAAATTGCCTAGTTTGTGTTCGTTGCATGTTTTCACCGGGCTGTAACATCTGATTGAGGTAGCTGGTATTTGGTGGGCGGCCTGGACCGGGCATTCTTGCTGACGTTCTAGCATTTGTAAGTATTTGCTGCTGTTGCGGTTGTTGTTGCACATTTGATGGTAATCTGCCAGACGGGCTGGTCTTATTTAAATCTACTACTTTGGGTAAAATTTCCTGTGGAGTTGCAGATATCACACTAGCAGGTACAGGAGGTATAGGAAGGTGGTTATTTGCCGGTTGTTTCGCCAATAGCGATGCCAACATTTTGTTTCGTTCGCATAATTTGCTACCAGATGTTACACCAGATGAAGAGACAATCTCTGTTACTCGTTTCGGTGGGTTATCGTCTCGTTCGTCGCTGGGTCGCTTTCGAGCACGTCCAGGTTCTGCAGGTGGAGATGGTGAGTTCTTAAATCCGAGACTGCGCAGCAAAGAATCTTCATGGGATTGAGGTTCCGGTTTTCTTTCCTCATCTTCTTTCAATAGCTGCTGGAGAAGTTCGCTTTGCTTTTTGATTCCTGCACGTGCTTCGAGGTCGTCATCATCGTTCTTTTCGTTAAGTAACTAAAATTACAATCACAATTACAAGAACAGTCTTAGGTAGAATTTGCTGTGTGCTTAGAAAATTGTTACATATGACATCATGCATCACAATTGCAAACTAGGTAGATACATCAATATCAGATGAGATTGAAATGAGATTCAAATGAGGATTCCTGTTCTGTTCCACTTCAGTTGTTAAAAACCAAAATTAAACAACATATTGATTAAAATTCCTAACAAATAAAGTATATAGCTTGCTTGTATAATTCAGAGATAAACCACTTCAAATATCGTTTTATCAAAGCATAATCTTACCATGATGAGAAGAAAACTGCTCCTTAAACGAACTTGCCGCGTTTACAGTTTGCACTAACTAAATTAAGAACTAAACATCGCGTAAGACGTTTACGCTGCAAAGCAAGTAAGAAAAGTGACTCACAAGTAACAAAAGAGCAGGTAATACGCCTTATCGCTAAACTGAGGACGTATTGCCAACTGATCTTGAGCACTTTGATAACAAAATACATCAATGTAATATAGAGAGGAAAATACCAACTGCACACGAACTACACAAGTTAGTTTAGCCTTCAGAAATTGAACTGGCAAGGAAGGCAACTGGCATTATTATTACTTCCCTTTTTCTACCTGGAAGCTGAGTTTTGCGAACAGGTAGACACCCTATGAGGGATAAGATTTTAGGGTAGGTACTTTGAGTACAATAACAAGTACAGCAGTCACCATTAAATTTTACCATTTCACAGTAAACGTTTTCACTTCTAAAATATTTCTTAATCGCAATATAAATATTATACATTCGATGATAATTAAAATATTGGGTACATTATCAAAGGTATGACTCAATTGTTTTTGAATAACTATCCGTTTGGTAACTACCTATCTTAATTTCACATCTGTTATGTCTTCACAAATTCGTGTAGGTATTAAAATTAATGTGGGCTATAATTTATGCAAGTAGCGAGTACGTCATCGCATATGCAATCGTTTTCAGGAATGAGGATCGCGTGTTTGCGAGTCCCTTACAATAGAATTTTGTGGAATGAAAAAATACACAATTAATGTTTTGATTTCCATTTTTCTGATTTTTTATCTAAAAACTTGCTAGATAGTGAGCATGTACTTTAACTTCGTCTTATCCACAGGGATAATTGGTTTTGGCCCTGACCAATAAAGCGCAAAGGATCATTCAAGCTAAATCTGTGCGTGTTTCAGGCGTTCACATGGTCAGAACTTGGGAAGCGCATCATACTTGATAATGGTCCAGAGGCGCCAAACATCATAAGAATAACTAGTCAGGGACTTCAGTAATTATTGTCATGCAAATAATCCCCAGCTCCATAAAATGCACTAGATTAAAATATCTACTCTTGTAATACCTAGAGTAAAGCATTATCCTGATGACGCGAGATTGTAAACCAAAGCACAGTCCAAATCAAATGGTAATGTACAAACCGATTTTCGACTCGGCAACGTTTTTAGAAATAGATTCATTCTACTTCCTTAACAGTGAATGCAAATTTACGAAAATATTGCGAAATCTGTTACATTTATTTATGGTGCAATTTTATGCAACGCGCCACGCCACCTCTTTGACCGTTGCGGTAAAGTTTTCATTGTTTTCAAAAGAAAGAATCCTTGGTTTATTTTGAAAATGTTTGTTACCCCTTTGCCGCTCAATTTTTTTAGACAAGCAGATGGAAATGTATTTTGTTAATAACTCTTACGATTAATAGCGTTTTTAGTTTTTCCACTGATGGATTAGCAGTGCGCATTGGTACCGCCCTAATTCTGACTGCACACTTTCTTGGAGCAGGAAACAAAATTGCGCTACTTTGGGGCAGTGGAAAACGTGAGACAACCGAAAACTCTTTTGAAACTGTAATTGTTGTATCGTTAGTTAAGTAATGCCTACTTTCATAAATTCAAAGAATCCTTTAGCTGATTATTACTATATTGCGAAATTATTTCTAAGTAATTCCTAATTTTTGGAAAACTATTGTGTTCTGTAATAATTGCACCTAATGCTTCTATTAATTCTTCATCATCAGTATCTGAAGAATCCGTCAGTATTTCTGATACAACAGTACAAATAACTTCATCCATTGCAAAAAATGAAAAAAAAATGTTATTTTGAAAGAGAAAATTTTCAGGTTATGTATAGCGCTCTGAAGCTTTAACACAGTTCTACAAAATGCGAATTTAAAGCGAAATATCATGGAGCAACCGGACAAGTGGAAAACGCTGCTCTGATATAATGCGAACTGATTTACGTGAGTGGAAAACGCTAAAACGTAAAAAAGTCGATCTCAGTTCGACAGAGGGCAGCAAGTGGAAAACGCTATAAGTTCGTTAACGCAGCGTTTTTAAAAATGTTCTATGCAAGGTTTCCTTATAGAGCAGGGGTGCTCAAACGGTCGATCGCGAGTTGTTTGTTAATGTAGGAGTACCTCAAGGATCCGTTTTGGGTCCCATCCTATTCATACTTTTTATAAATGACATTGTTATGTTTCTAAATTGCTTAGTCTTGTATGCGGATGACACTACGGCGTTAATCTCTGGTAAAAACCTGCCCGATGTTAAAAAAAGAAACACCATACATTGACTTTAAATTCAACGAAATGTTGCTTGAGAACGGTCGACTTTTTTCCATACAAAATTTGGTTACGCAACAAAAAGTATCGCAACGTCGCAAAACAAAATGTTCCGTCCGGTGCGTTTCCAGCCTTAAGTCCGAAACAAATGCGTCCAGAGATATTAAATCATATGCTGGCACGCTAAAAAAAACTTCTACCACAAATAATTTTTCACCAGTGGCCCTGAGATTGATGAATAATGGTTCAACAGCGCAATTCATTTACGAAACTGCAATTTCAGCATAATAAGGCTAGGCTAAAGAAGGCTTTTCGAATCATTTTTAAGTTTTCCGAATTATGCTCAGAATTATCTTCCTGCCAAATTTCACACCCGACTAGTGCATTGGGCACAGCTGATCCAAACTTTTATTGCAAATTCTGAATAATGTCGTTTGCAATATGCCTGAGCTTGTCGGACACACTTTAAACTACAGATCCATCTACGGTAATTATAATTTATATACCCTGACCTTTTCTTAACCTAAATCATAGAAAACTTTTATAACAATGCTCCAATAAGTCCGAGCCAATAACATTAGTCCCGTTATCCTTTTATTCCATTTTAAAATAAAAATTAAATACCATTTCGCAAAAAATAAGTGTTTTTGATACTTCAAAATAAAACCTTTTGTAAGAAGACGATTTATTGGTATGGAACTTATTAGTCACCGCTGGCAGCAACAAGACCCTTCCGAGAAGGGCTAATATATTCGAAAGCAGATCCATCTAACCCCCGTAAATATAACACAATGCGCATTAGAATTTTAGAGGTCTTGAATCATGCCTTTGTTAACTTATGAGTCACATTTGGCAGGTGCGCTTTTGAGTAATTGTAGCTTCTAATGACAAATCGCATTCCTGATTTGTTAAAATTACCCTTACCAAGGCGATTACTTTGCACTTGATTATTTAGGGCAGAAACTCAATATCCACAAAATTAAAAAAGTTATGATATCTCTTCAAGATAAGCGTCTATAAGAGAGATCCTCACGCGAGAAGGCGGATAAACCACCCCAGGACATGCATCTGTTGCACAATAAATCCTGTCCTAAAACATTTTTTGTTATAAACTGCATGCTTTAATGTCACAATTGAGGGTAGTTCGAAGTTTCCGGTGGAGGGCAATTGTTCAAATACACACTTAGTACTTGATGTCTTCAAATACCAAAGTTTTGGAGGAAAAGATAAAAGAAATTTATGTTTCCTTCTCAAGCAAAAATTGAAGAATGTTTTCCACAAAATAATTAAATAAGTCGCATTATTAGTTTTTTTCTTAACAAGAACAGGAACAGGAAAATAATACGAAATGTTTTAATGGCACTGGAAGTCTTACCTGAAGAAGCATGTTATTCCCACCGGCATTCGCGTTTTTCACAGCCTCCAAAGAAACTGGCAAAGAAGCGCGCACTCCGATACCTCTCGGACTGCTTCTATTTTCGTTTTTACTTTCGTCGTCGTCCTGCTGATTAAGTAAACCTTTTAGTATTCTATGTTTGTTTTTATTTTCCGAATCGCTCGACGAATCCATCGAGTTCGGAGGTTTGGTTAATAAATTTCTTAATCTACCAGATTCGGCCATCATCGTTGACGCTTCCTCTAATACGTTAGCTTTGGTATCTTTTGGCTCTTCCATTTGGAAGTTGGATTCTGTACCGGGACTAAAGGGAAAATTACTACTATATGGGTTGGCGGGCGTGGGAGGGTTAGGTACTGCTGTAGGGCTTGGTTGCGTGACGAACGGGGCAAGAGGGCTTTGGGCGACATTTGGAACGGGACTGTACGCCGAGGCGCTGGAGGGTCGAGGGGTGGGGGTCGAAACGGAATTAACGCTTTGTCTGGATTCGGGCCTGGTTTCGTTCCAATTGGTCGACGAGTCCAATTCCCAAGTTGAGCTGGGAAAGATGTCGAAGTTGTATTCGCTGTCGAGAGGAAAGGTGGTATACGAAGAGTTTGTGTTTAGGAGCGCGCTGTTGACGGAGGTATTCGTGACGTCGTTCGCCGTACTTGAGGGGGCGCCGTTCCGTGTGCCATTTAGGACGCTCGTCATGAGAGGACCGCCGACACCACCATTATTTCCAGTAACCAGTTCTGAGGAGGCCGTGGAATCGTGTTCGCTGTGAAGGTGAATTTTTATGGATGAAGTGATTCCTGGTGGTTACTTACCCTATGATGGAGTGTGTTGCCATAATAAAGTCGGTGTCGGTTTTCGAGTTGGGATTTGCTTTAAATAACTTTGACTTTGTTTGAACGTGCACGTATTTGTCTTGCGAACCGAGCCGTAACTTATATATGACACTTGTGGCTTGACCCGCACTAAATGTGTCTCTAAGGTGTGACGTAAGTTTATGCACTTCTTGTTGCGGGCACAGATCTTGTAGGCTACGACCCATAAGATCTTTTTTAAGGAACTGTGAGTACGTGTCCGACACCCCGGATGTATCGACGCCTATAATTGTTCCCGAGGTATCTAACTTTGTGGTAAATTGTTCTATAGATGAACCTGGGACAGATTCCCTATGTGAGATACGACTAGCAACACACAATAAACAAGGACCACTATCACCACCTTCGTCGTCCGAAATAGCAACTTGATCCCGATCTCTTAATTGAGTACTAGAGATGTGCATAAGCTCGTACCTACTTACGCGCTGTTGTTTTTCTTCAATACTGTCATCAAGATCTTCGGGCTTTACCAATAAGCGGCAGCTAAACGACCGAGATTTGTTGGTGGGTTCGCTTCCCCATCCTATCGACATAGGCAAGAGACTTGCACTAAATCGTGCATGATCTCCGTGATGGATAAAATTGTAAATACTTTTACCGAGAACTTCTTCGCGGTTGAACCTAATGTAAGTCGAAACGTTGTCGGTAACGTGTTCAACTTTACCTTCACCGTTTACGACGAATAAAAATCCCTCGAGAGCTGCCAGCAAAAGGGGGCCGTAAACTTCGTTGGACAAGATGGTGGGTCGCGATGAAGAAACTTCCCCCTGTTGTACTGGATCCGACGGTTGCGTGGAACTCTCCCGTTGCTTGATGCTGCGGATTTGATTGACAGTTTCCTGAAGAATGGCGCACTTATCTGGCTTCACCGAGAGCGAGCTCATGTCCGCAAAGTTGGCGGAGATTAGCTCTGCCAGTTCCTCTATATAGATGTTTTCTTGTTCGCGACGGCGTTTCTCATTGTTGCACTTGTTACTGAAATCAAAGGTTTTGATCATTCTTCTTTCAAACGTGCGAGTAATCGTTAATTTGTGACCCATTTCATGTCACCTACTAAATTTCTTACACAAACATAATAAAGCAAACAAAAAAATGCTACTTACGCATTTCAACATAGACAATAAGTTGCTGGTAACGCGATAATGATAATTACACATATCGTATTTCCTTTCTGTATAAGTTTAGTGTGCTAATGTGACGGAGATAACCAGCTCGAGTGGGATCGCTAAGGATTTGGAATCATTTCGGTATATTATTCATGTACAGAACATAACTTCGTGTCGATATTGGAATAACAACCAGCTGGTAATCGTGCTCTTTGTAACTTTAAATAATTACACAGGGCGGTGTTTTAATTATAAAGTAATCGCTAAAATTAGGAATTCGGTCGTTTGCTCCCTCGCCGTCATCAACAGAAATTAATTTTCGCTCACTCATGAGTGGGTACTTACCGCATATTGCCACAGAACGTAAATGCGAACCAAATTATAAATATATACGTCTTACCTAATTACCTTCCTACCACAGTTAGTGTAATTACGATACTTTACACCAAGGTCACGGTGCACGATCAGGTAATGGAATCAATCCCTTGAAAAAAATGTTTGCCAAGCTATCATTTTGGGAACGCAAAACACGTACTTGTTTCCTTGAAAGTGTTACCTCGCGAACAATAGTAATAATATTCCACACCCCACTTACGGTAAAATCATCGGTTTAATTTGCATTACATGAAGGCACGCTTACACAAAATTAGGACAGTAGATTTGAGATCAATTACAAGTTTCTTGGTGCAGAAAATCTATCATCTTCGCCCATTGGTACAGCATCTGATCCGAAGCAAATAAACCCAGCGATGATGATTGGCACACCACGGAACGAAATACCTCAGATTGGTGAACTTACAAGTACAGTGCAGCTTGCCTTGACTATGGGCATATTTAAATGCGGATTTACACCTTCGTGTGAGCATTAAAAACCGGCACAAAATTAAGAAGTAGCGGACACGCGAAGTAGACGGGAAAAATTTAATTAGGTTCCCACTGTTTTCTTCCCAGAAGACCCCGCCGTCCGATTCTTCACATAAATTTCATAGTGATTGTTACCTCAACCCACAACCTGCGTTCAAAGGGAGCAACTTCGGAAGTCGACTGGTTTTTAAGGAGCTAACTTTATTTCCAGTAGAAACAAGTACTCGAGCCACTTCTTTCCACAGGATCACTGTAACCCCCTCCACGAAGGGACAACGCGCTGCTCTTTCAAAGGGAGCAACTTCGGAAGTCGACTCGGTCGGTCGAGAGGACCGGGGGTGCTGCCTTAAGTAAAACACGTTCTACGATTTTCGTTTCATCAAAGGGAACACGTCCATTGAAGACGAGAATGGAGTGTGGTGCAGAAATGGAATACATACAACCGAGATTCAAAGCAACCATCGAGCTATCCCTTCATAAAGAATCGCCAATTGAAGTCAAAAATTAAAACAACGCTCATTTTGTTCCTTCAAGCCAAACGACCAGCGAATACGCCTTGAGGGTTTTGAAGATGGTGAGTAGTACTCGGAAGAAAAGGGCAATTTTTGACATAAACTAAAACGTTTTGTGGCTGTGACAATAAGCGAATTTGGAATTTTAAAAAAAAATTGGAAAAGTGCATTACTCTCAATGGGAATACCGAGGCACGTGGCGCAGTGGATGCGCTCACCGATGCTATTCGGGAGGTTGTGGGTTCGAATCCCGCTGCCGACTGCTCTGTCTGGGGTTTTGTCAGGGGGTTTTCCTCAGACATACGTAGCTTGGCATAATGCTAGCATTATGTTGAAATCTACGAGGCGAATGCTGGAGCAGTACTCTCCCCCTCAGCACCCTAACTCCCTTCCTTCCGTTCCCATCCCTAACTTTACCCATCCTTACAATCCCGTTCTCTGGCTCAAGAGGGCCAGGAAGCCCTGAGCAGCCCGCCTCCGGTATCCCTGTAGCCAGGGGTGCCGGAGGAATGAAACACGTTGGCCTTTTTCCTTTTTTTTTTCCTTTCAATGGGAATATCATGGAAGTGATTTGATGTCAAAATAGAAACAAATAAAAAAATAATGAACATTCTTGCTTTTTTGTTCCCCCATTTTACGTATTATTCTAAACTGAAACCCAAAACAATAAAGTCCATGTCAAAAAACTTGATCTGAACACACCGAATTTTTTGAAATTACAATTCATAAACGAAGAAACCACTGTTTAAAATATGCAACGTATAACGAACTTTGTCCGCAACTAAACTTTCGATGCATCGATATCATTGGTGTCTTAACAAATTGCATTAAAATGTAAGGACGACATCATTTGCATAAAATAGTACTGAGCTAATGTTTTAATAGTAATATCACCAATTCATTAAATATCAGTGATCTTTGAACTTTTTGACATATGAAATGATTGTATGTTCTATGTAAACACGTATACACGTATTAAATTATTGACATTTTTAAAATTCAAGGAACGCGCGATACATTATTCTTTCACTTGGTACTTTGATATCAGCCTTTGGGGTCGTCCATTAATCGCGTGAAGTTTTTAGCAACTTTTAAAATCCGCGAAAAATTGTGATTCTACACCTCCTTGTGATTTTCGACCCTCCCTCCGCCCCTTTCGAGCATTCCGTGATTAATGGACCCTTTGAAGATCAGGTATTATAGTGCTGAAAGAATAATGTATCTGCCTATCTAAACACAAATTTGCAAAAATCAGTATGCAGCCCAATAAAATTGTTTACTATTATTTTTTTACTACGAGGGGGGAGGGGGGCTTATGCGTAGAAAAATGAAAGCATTCAAGCATTTTTTTTCGTAAAACCCTCTCAATTTAAGTCGAACAATTGCAATCAACGCTGGTACTCATTTGCAACTATTGTTACAAGTTTTTAGCGCATTTCCACAAAAATAAAAAAAAAGCGCTATTGTGGCCACTTTGTCCGTCCGTCCGTCCGTCCGTCCGCTCGTTTTGCGACGCTACTAGTTCTTTATCTTAAGAGCTATTGTTCTATTTTTTTCGCTATTTGGTTCGTTATGGTGTCGAGTCTTGTACCAAGGAAGGAATTTTTTCTGTACCGCTTACAAAAAAAGTTATTGTAAAAAAAAACAAAAAACCGTTTTTTACATGTTCCATAATTTTACACTTTTGCCGTTTATTAACGATCCTAGAGATCGTTTATAATTTTGCATTGCTATCTGTCGTCTGCCTGTTGGTCTGTCCGTCTGTTCCTTTGTCTGTCTGTCCATCTATCTGTCCGTGTGAACGATAACTTTGTTTAGAAATGTTCGATCGCTTTTACATCTCCGTTAGTTATGAACTGAATTGCATGAAATTCAATATGGGCATAGCTTTAGCCATATAATACGCAATGCCAAAAGTTGAATCGAATCGATTCAAAATTCACAGTGCCCTTTTCGCATCTCGACCATTTATAAACCGAATTGCAAAATTTTTTACTTATAAAAGTATTTGAATGAAATTTGATACATAGGCACTTGGAATAAAGGAAAATCAAACGCCAATTTCAAAATTTGGTTTTGCGCATGCGCAGTGCCAACTTTTTTTATTTATGGAAGAATTTAAACGAAATTTGATACATAGGCACTTGGGATAAAGGAAAATCAAACGCCAATTTCAAAATTTGGTTTTGCGCATGCGCAGTGCCAACTTTTTTATTTATGGAAGAATTTAAACGAAATTTGATACATAGGCACTTGGGATAAAGGAAAATCAAACGCCAGTTTCAAAATTTGGTTTTGCGCATGCGCAGTGCCAACTTTTTTATCTATGGAAGCATTTAAGTGAAATTTGATATTTAGGCGCTTGGAACAAAGGAAAATCTAACATTAGTTTCAAAATTTAGGTTTGCGCATGCGCAGTTCCAACTTTCTTATTTAGAAAGCATTGAAATGAAATTCTTCTCATAAACTGACATTGAAGTAGCACGACAAAAATGGATTACCCATGTGCAACGCTATCTTTCATATTTGTGGCCGGATTTTTACGATTTTATAGAAGTTGCATCTTACAAATGGGAAATGAATGCAAGTGGAAATGCGCTTTATGTAAATCGTTTACGATTACTTTTTAACTTGTTTCATTTGTATTTGCCATATATGAATTATTGTTGATGTGGGGTTCAGGGGGTCAAATATTGATCACAAACGCTAAAAGCCGGTGCGAGTTTATTGTGAAAAAATTTCCATTATCAACGTATTTTAGTGCCTTTTCCTAAAGGAAAGTTATTCAATTTTAAAGATATCGATATGTGGGTCTTCAATATTATTTTGTCGAACCAGTGGAGGCGAACAAATGCGCTAGAATCCCTTGGCAAAATACAATTTTTGAAAATGGGGAGGAGGGGGGGGCGTTTTACCCTACTTTGTCGAAAGGAATTGGTTTATAGGTACAAACTATAGCTTCCTCGCTTTCTTCTTAAGTTCTGTATATTGTCTAGAATATATGTAATGTTCTAACGGGCGATCAAAAATGAGTTGCTGTCGAGTCGCCTTTGGAAGTTCAAGTTAAATACGATTTCCTATGTAAACAAAAGTTCCAAAGGTGAGTCGACAGCAACTCATTTTTGACCGCACAGTATAAGTTAATCGCACAGCGATTGGCTCCAACATTCTATAAGTTTTTTTTAGTGCACTTTCACTTTCAAAAAATAAAAAGTTCACTTTTGCGCTCTTGATATCCGTCTGTTTAGCAAAGGCTTCGGAACTACACCCCTTACAGAGTTGGCATTGGTGTCATTCGATCAGAAATTAAAAATTATTTCACGTTTGTATTCTCGTTAAGGCATGTACTGTCCATAAGGGCTATTAGAAAAGAAAAAACAAAGATGCCTCTTGCTCACAAGCGGCTTAATTGACGGGCATCGTATAGTTATTTTTTCGTTCCCCTTTGTATCGAGCCTTTTTCCCACGTATCTGTACTTCTGGATGACCACCCGCTCCAAGGAGGAGCAATAACCAATTGTGCCATCGTCTTTATTTTTATTTTTTATTTAATTGTGTACAACCCTATTCTTTTTTTTAGCTTTCTATCCTCCCCTTACAACCTCTACGTACCATAATTATTTAAATTTGCACAAATTGTTTGCATAGTTCATCTACCGGGTGGTGCACGGTAAGTAGGAACATAGGGATTTAACATGGAAAATTAGTTTTATGCAATATCCTGCCCTCCTGTACATTTTGGAAAATCACATTCTGAAAAATTCTCTTAACGACTAATGTACCGTGCGTCCTATTTTGGTCGAGACTGCAATGTATCTCAGCTGTTTTTAATGATAATAAGAGAGAGGGTTTTCGCGATCTTGTGCCACTTTTTTGTTAAACTTTTAATACCACAACACAACCAGAATCAGCTACGTTTGTTTCCGGCATACAGGGTGAAAACGAAAAGTCTGACTTTTTGGAACGTTATCATATCTGACTCTTGTTAGATAGAACAAAGGTAAAAACAGCCTATTGTTTATGGTTTATGGCTAAAATTAAAAAAAAATATAAATTGTGGTACATCAATGTAGCAAGAAAAAGAACGACAAAAATTGACGTTAAGATATACAGGGTGTTCCATTTAAAATACCAACTTTGGATCAATTTTCAGAAACGATGGGGCAAAAAATTGTTTTGACTACGCCACTGGATTTTACGTCAAAATATCTACATCAGACGCTTTTAACTCATCAGTACGAGATCTCAGATGCTGAGATCACAAACCGATTCATTAAAATAAATTCGCGCCCAAAGCGTTGTTAAGTCCTCACTACGTCCCTGCTCGCAGTGCTCCACAGCGACTGAAATTAGTTTCGTGACGCTAATGTCAATAGAAAGCTTACAAATTCCATTACGTACAGGATGGATAATAGCAAATTTCATAATTTATATTGCTTCTGCATTACAATCGCTATTTAAATTTTCCTCGCTAAACATCGCCGAATAACCAACCGACGACCATATATCTTGTCTCACATTACAAGAACTACAAATCGATACACACATGGTTGAAGATCCGTTATTCCATTACCGGACTGACACATAATTACCCTATTCGATAATACGTGTTGTATACAGAATTCGTATGAGCAACGGTTTTATATCGATAATACGTGCGATCACAAACAAACGACCTACATAGACTGTAAAGCCATACGTACAAACTACTAAATACGAAACTAATTTACATAAAGATAGCTGCCGGTTACATTATCTAATAAATACGAAAGGAAATACAATATATGCATGTTAGAAATTAATTAATAATTTACCTCGAGTCTATGTATACCAACAATTAAAAATCAACTTACATTTGCGCTTGGGGTTTAGGGTCGGATTTTTTTCTTTTCTTATTGACACCAGCGGCCAAGGCGCTCATCTTGGCCCACACCGGGTCCTGCAGCTCACATGGGCCGAGCCTGAAACGAAATCTTAAAATTAGTGACTATTATAGCTATCAAGTGGTATTGTTTTCATTGATCAATGAGTGGAAGTCGTATAATGAAAAACAAACAGAAGCAATTTTCCACTCGAGTTTTCGATTATCAAATTACGCTATATCAATTGACAAATTACATTAGTACAATTTGGGGAGTGTTTCCAATCGGCCATAGTGAAGGGGTCCGCATGGAAATTTTGCGAAAATCCGCAAGGGCGGTACTTAAAAAGTAAACAGCGTGCTTGTAAGAACAGTATGCGGTTCAAAAAATCTAAAATCAATACTTGGTGTATAGGCGTCTCGACGTCGGCACGCAACAGGCGTTCGAACGCATGCGTAAATTAAACAACAGCTGTAAGCAAATGCGAATCCCTTTAACACGACAGCTTTCGACGGTTAAGGTAGGTCATGTGTGTGCGGCTTCGGCCTCCCACCCTCAACGGCCCTCGTAAAACGTAAAACTTTTTTTGCCGAAATCAACCGCATAAAAATAAATGCACTCGTAAAAGAGTGGAAGCGTTATTACTTCCGTATTATGAAGATAAAACATTGTGAATGTAATTTGCCAATTAAATTGTCGTTTGCGTAATATGATTCATAACACCCAATAACGTAGTAGTATTATAGTTGCTGTCGGAATCTATTTATACAATCAGTTTTAATCAACATTCCTCCTCTTTACAGTAGCAATTTCGAATTCGTTAAATCACTTTTGCTTTCTGCTGTGTTCCGATTGGCAAATGAAAGAACATCCAGAAACTCATTTAAACTCGCAGTGTCCCGATTAACTTATATTTTTGGCAGATTTTGGCACACTCCGATGGGAAGCAATAAATTTGCGGAATCGCTGTAACAAATCATTTTCTCGTATACCCTACCGAGTTTATGTCAAGTCATCTACTTTTGAAAATGTTTGCTTGATTCCTCACTTCATTTCCAAAATTATCGTATTGTTGCATATAAAAATCGCGCATTTGGAATGTGGAAGCTTGACGGTTGTCGACCTTTTTAGGGGAATGTTCCGAAAGAAATTCCCCTTATGTGATGGTTTGGTTTGGTCCGTCCGTCTGTCCGGTTGTTCAAGGATCAGCGCTATTGAATATGACCCGGATTAAAAGTCGTGTTTCCGAATGCGAGCGAGTGGCAAAAAATTCCCCTACTGAAAATCCAAAATCGTATACGATTCTTCGTATCAGTGGAAGATGGACCACCACCAAAGATTACTGACAAGATTTTACAAAAACAACTCCCTTATCTAATGATTAAATAATGCAACTAAACACAGACACAGCTAATTGTAACCATAACCACTTATTATTAAGCATTTACGTTACCTAAAAAATCTAATCTCTGAGAAAATTTATTATTTGTATTACGCTATTAAACTTTGCATTTAAATTTTATTTTATTTTTATTTATCTATACAATATAAATCCTAAGTAAATATTTTTATCTATGATAAGGCAAATATATACTTAATCAGTCGATTCTGATTTAAACCTTTTCCTCTTGCGATAGGTTTTCTCTAGTTAATTACTTGCCGAATGTTGACCAATATTGTTGTCAATTTGACAAGTGCAAACTGTTTCAAGTATCAACGCTTTTTTGGGCTGAAGTAAAAGACCGAACAATAATGCAAAAAATCGCATTAAAAAATTCGGTCCAAACAAATATGGGCCTAGAAAAAAATTAGAGATACCCTTTAGAAAATCGTGCGAGTGCGGCGGATTTTCCCGTTTATATCGAACAGAAAAATTTGCATGCTATTTCGTTGGTTTTTGATGGTAGGCGTGTTTGAATTTTAAAAATCAAAATTTCATACTGACAAAAGGCAAACGAATCTGTTATCCTTCGTTTTTGCTGGGTGTAACTCCATAAGAAACGACCCTGGTGCTTTTTAAAGAGTCCGGGAAGTATATTCGTAAATATCAGACGCGTTATCCCTTCGGAAAAACTCGGCAGTACTGAATTGCTTCAAATATTATTTTCATATCACACTTTCGGTGTCTAGATTTCAAAATTTAACTACTGTGCCCTGTGTATTTTTGTATTTTCAGATTCCACAGACAATTTTACACCTGATACGTTATTTTTGGTAATTTATACGAGGTTGCTCGAAAAAAAATTGAATTTCACGATCGTTCTTCATCGATGATATATTCTACAAAACACAACAACCCACAGCTGGTCGAATAAAAAAGTTCAATAATTTTTATAATTTTTTCTTGTTGGCATACCGGTTAATTATAATTTTTGTAATCAACCTCGTATTTAAATTATAGGAAATAATATGCGCGACGAATTCTCCATTTGCGAAACATTATAGTTGATTCAATAAAAAGTAACTCATTTGGTGGTAACGTATTTTATTTTCTTTTTTATTCTTTTGGGCTATCGATTTCGGCAAATGATTATGCTATCAATAATATTAATAATATTATTAACATTGAAAAATAAAAAATAAAAAAAATACAATGTTACCGCCAAATGAGTTACTTTTTATTGTATAGGAAATAACTCAAACAATAGTTGTCTGTATATTCTAAAAATGGAAAAAGTGCCATTTAAATTTCGAAATTTACTAAATCGAGTATTCAATTTGTTTTTTTATGGTATTTCAAATGTTCTGCTGCCACTCATAAAATGGGGACCTAAATATCCCTTCCGATCCCTTCTCTTCCCCCTAAACTTTTAAATCGGGTGGGCTATCGGGGTCACCTAAACTTTAATGAGGGAAAATCAAGGCCGAACACTCGATCAGGTTCAAATGTGCGCCTGCCTCTCGCATTGTATAAGATTTCGAAGCCTACAAATCAAAATAGTGGTAGGTAAAGAATTCATTGATTTTTTTCTTCATAATATACTTAGACTTAGGTACCCTTTAAAGTATTTAAACGAAATTACCTCTTTCCGGAATTTTTGCACAATTGTGCTCAGTATTGCGCGTCACTTTTTTACCGATAGACGTTCCAAGAACAGTGATTTGTGGTCATTGCGCGTAAACTCCTAGAATTCTGATGACTGTTTAAATGTAGTACAAACCAAATGCGACACGCTTAAAGGAAATTAAGGTTTTTTAGCATTTACACAGCTTTTTCTTTTGTCTGGTTGTGTAAGTCGAATCGATTGTTTCGGTGTCATTAATAATAATTAATTTAATAAATATGGGGGAAATTAAAAAATCCCATTCTTCAATACTTTAATAAACAACCTGTCGTTATGGTAAGAGGTAAATGAATCTATACGCATTTAATAATAAATCAACAAGGCCATAAATAATGCTTTACCTCTCTCGGTTCACAATTAAAATACAAGTTAGAACCTAGATTAATTAATTTTTTTTTGTATCTGAAAATTCCCCGCGGATAGTAAATTTACATATTATTTTTACCCATTTTCTGGTCCGTTTCGTACGCGATAATTAATTCATTTACCCGTATAGGCCTAAAAACCGTTCATTGTTACGTCACTGCAATTTCACCATAGGGACTTCCCCGCCCACCTCTTAAAGTATTGCTAACGACCATTCTTTTCCCAGCCTTCCAATTAAGATTCACAAAACTAGTTGGCTTTGGTACACGCCTAGAAAATTTCCACAAGTATTTTCTTTTCGATTTAATTCTACCCGTTTTACGTCTGCGCCAATTAATATTTGAAAATGTAAATATTTGCAAATTTTTAGCACACCCGCCCATTAGGATGCGATTATTTTAACTTAATTCTATTTATTTATTCATCTCCAATATTTATGTACAAAGAATTTATCTACGTTACTTAGCGGTAGAATTATTCAAATTACCAAAACATATTGTATTGTTTGAAATCGTATGGAAATTAAAGATTTACCATATTGTAATTATTCATTCTGTAAGTAATAGACCTATGAAAAATGTTTGTTCTAGTTTGATGACATTAGAATAGTTGCCAAAAATATATATTAATGAACTTCAAGATGAATGAAAGCTATCTTTCATTATAATTTAATAAGACATCAATTAGCAATTTACATTCATGCTAACTCCACACTTTAAACACTGAAGATATACGCATATGATTATAGACATATTGCAAATAAGCGCAGGTGGAAGACACATCAAATACAATTTTATTTTTTCACTCGAATCTTCGTGAGTATATCAAAAATTCCCACGCAATAACTACTTCTTGCGTGTTTACGTCTCATACGCAGAACATTATAGAGTGTGTATCCGCCATTATGGAACCCTTATTTTAGTAGTTAGCACCTATACCTAATAAGGTACAGGAAAAAATATTACAGCGAACGTGATTGTGAACCAAAACCCATTTACAACCTATACGTTTATTTTTGTAGGCAATGTGTAAAAAAATTGTCACGTACGACCATCAGAACGTGTTTCTTCAAATATCACAAACTTCGCATTGCTATACATTGGATTCCCGATCACATTCGCTCTATTCCTACGTTTACGGAAATATCTACATACCGCATTTTGAGCACTTTTTGTATTCCATGCACATAAATTTGTTGTCGTTTTGTCAAACAGGTCAATTTAACATAAATGTGCCGATTCTCATGGTTTTACGCACCAAGACAGTGCCAAAGAGAGATGTCCAAAGACGGAATCATTTTGAGTCTTCTATATAACGGTAAATTCGATTGAGAGCTTTCGTTCAAATCTACGTAGATTGTAATCGGCTTCAAATGGATTGATCAATCGGCCGATTGAAGTAATTACTATGATCTTTAGGATGTTGAAGTTATATGAAGAAATAGATCAAAGCTATTTGCAAATTTTTCGTTGATATTTTCAAATAGCATATTAACGTCCGTCTCGGCTATCAACTTAACAACGGATAGAGCAACAATTAAAAAATTCGTTAAGCCGCTTGTGAGTAAGAGGCGAAGAGTGCACTTTCAGATTTGTTTTTTCGATTGTAATAGCCTTATGGACATTTCATGCCTTAACGAGAATACAGTCATGAAATTTTAATTTCTGA